TAACAAACATCTAATGACTTTTTTGGATGCGGTCAACAAGAAATGAGGAAATCACATACACATGACATTCTAGTAATCACGGTTCTCCTCAAACATACTAGAGGACCTTTATTTTGTAGAATTGTTGAATAAATCACAGTGCACCTGCACAGTTGGGCTGTTAGGGAGAAGTTTCTAAAAATAGGTATTTGACCAAGATTAATGTAAAAAGGAAAATGTATCCAAAGACGTTATTTATCCTACTCTATAACGAAGCGTCAGTTTAATAAACATGTGCACCATATGACATTAAAGTTGAATGGCTTAACAAGTAATACCATCAAGCCTTCAGGAAAATAGAGCCAGTTTTTTCCAGCAGCATATTTCCACGGGGAAATTCTCGACTGGTTTTGACTTTAACAACAACAATACCAATTCTAGACTTGAAGCTTTCGTGACTGCAAGGAATCATATTCTTAGGTGTTTTCGGTAAAGTCACGTAGGTAAAACATCAAAATTAATAAAAATAATAAAATAAAAATAAAGATCACGACGTTTCGGAGGCAACACAAGTCTCTGATCTGGCTGTGACTGTCCCACCTGATGACGGAGACTTGTGTTGCCTCCGAAACGTCGTGATCTTTATTTTTATTTTATTATTTTTATTAATTTTGATGTTTTACCTACGTGACTTTACCGAAAACACCTAAGAAAACAATACCAATGCCCTTTATATTTTTTAAGAGCAAATCCGAGTCTCAAATTGTATTTTTAATTTGAAACCTGCATTGCGATGTTTGGCCAATTCCTTTAGGGTACTGTACTCATCTGCAGTGTTTCAGCCTCATGGGCATAGCGGTTGTCTAACAACTGGTGAGTTGCCTGGTGTTGGAAAAAATAGCCCTTCATAAACACGACGAGAGTCATTATGCACAGTATAGCAACACTACACAAAACGTAAATATACAGCCACAACAGCTGAGAAATTAAGCAATGTCCGTGATCCGTGAGTACATTCACCCAGGAGGTGGAGAGTGAAATAAACTCGTGTGTGGGAGATGAGTGGATTCGTTGCATTGCAGGATTGTATGAGATTCCGATACCCTGGGGGTGGCCTTCATCCAGAAACAGAATCTTTATTTATCTTAGAGGAATCCGATGAGCTATGAAGCTCTTCTTCGTTGAGGTCCAGTAGGGGCGGGTCAGCAAGTTACACATCCAGCAGTGGAATGACCATGGCTAATAAATGGGGATCAGTGGTGGCGCTAGGCATAAAACAAAAGGTTAGTGTCTCGATCAGCTTCCAATGCCCCAGATTCATGAAAAAGATTTGCACCAAAGATCAGCTTTTTTTAGTCAGATCCTAATTATCATAAAAAAAACTAATCAGAATAGCGTAATATCTCACCTCTATCATGTCTCTTTTAATTTACTAATTTCACATGTATCATCTGCAATGCATAGCTCTTCTCTTTTCTCACTACATCTCGACCACTTGTCTCCATCTCTTGCCATCTCACTCAAAATGTATACCGAGTAACAGGGCAGGCCCCAAATGGGTAAGCAACGCCACTGACGAGGAAAACCATGAAATATAACACCGCATTGGGCCGTCACGCATACGGAAATAATAACAAAACACTCGTCAATAGCACTGCCCTATTTCAAACAAATGTCCTGCTCGAATGAGCAACGAGGCAACAATGCTTATCTCCAGTTCACAGCCTTAAGCAAGTGGTGGAAATTTCACATTCCTATGACGGGCGAACAGGGGCAAGTCCACCCATAAGACTTCCGTAGGAGACAAATCTAGAATTGTCGCGTAATTCTCCGTTATGAAGCGCCATCGAATGAATGAATGTTGGAATTTTTCGAGGCTCCACGATGTAAATTTCGAAACATGCATTAAGATTTAGATTGTTTTAGTGCTATGAATATCCAAATGAAGGGCCACTTGTTGAGCCATCATTTGTGACCAGGTCGCTTCAGAAAAATAAGTGAATACCTCAGTGGGCTTTGCCTGGTAGGGTGGTTTTGTTTTATTAGTGCGTTTGGGTGATTTGTTTACCTTTCTTATACTTTTCACTACGAAAGTGTTTTTGGATGTTCGCCTTTTGGAGTTCTCTGGTCTGACTAGGGAGACTAGGCCATAAACAAGGCCAAACAGTTTCAAAGACAATGAATTTATCAGAGGATTTTTGTTTGCATGTTCACCACAATAACGTGTGGTTTAGACAGACTTGATTACTCGTAAAAGGTGTCTATTTGGTGTTTGAACATCTTAACACCTGTTTAATTGCCAGGAAGGGTAAAGCCTATACTTATTTTTCATGTTTTTGTACCGTTTGTTGTTGGAACCTTCTTCAACGCCCTACTGGGCAGCTGTGAAAAAGCGCTTCATAGCTCATCGGATTCCTCAATTTTAAATGAAAATTCTGATTGCGAAATGTAGTGGCATCACAAAGGCAAAATTAACTTGAGTGCATTGGGGCAGAGGGTGCATCGCAAGCCAATCACGGGAAAAATATATACCCATCCTGACAAATTACTGCACGGCGAGGCAATTTGGCAATCTCACAAAACGCTTTTCAACCACTGCCGCAATTCAGCAGCGAATCGCTCAATTCCCACGGATCTCCAGGCAGAGCATCGCCTTTTACACCACAAGACGTGGACGTCGCGACGCGCAGTGCGTAATCCCATCACAAATGCATCATGAACACACAGCACCTCCGATTAGCACGGTTGGGCTACGCACAGTGGCAAAATAAGTTCAACATACATACAAACAGGACCTCCGATTAGCATGGTTGGCTACGTACGGGGCGAAAGAAGTTCAACATACACATACAGCACCTCCGATTAACACGGTTAGCTACATACGGTGGCGAAGAAAGTTCAACATACATAAATGGTTGTTGTTGTTGTGGTTGTTGTTGTTGTTTACCTGCACTGGCCCACTATTCGCCCCGGGCGAGCACGTGTCACGCGCGCCATGCGGGGCTTGGGCGTGGCGAGCGTCGTGACGTAACTTCCGGCAGTGCGCGTGCGTCACGAGGCGGAGGCGCGCGCACAGGAGGCGCGCGGCGGCCATGTTTCACGGGCGGCTTCGTCGTCGTCGTTGTCGTCGTCGCAAACCGCCGCCTCAGATTTGTAACAAATATCCCGCCGCCACGGCTATTTTTCTTATATTCCCGATTTAGTCACGACAAACGCAGATCGCGCGAATGGCAAACTCGGCTCGCGACAATGATGATGACGATTTTTTTTTTTTCTCCACAAATAAATTTACGTCTCGGCGAAAATGCGAGCGAGCGTACGGGCGAAAAAAAAAAGATTGTTAATGACGCGATCGAGAACGAAAAAAAAATTAAACGTACGTTCAATACGGTTGCATTTCAAACTGCGTCGTTTTAAAACGGCATTTGCCCCCCGAGGTAGACGTTTCGCTTGATGTCAAAAACCGTCGTCACTTGGGTTTTAGGGGCTCACCCGCGCTGCGCTCCGTGCCGCAGCCGCCACCGCCGCGCGCGAGCGATGCCTTTCTCTGTCGCCTCGCGCTCCGTTAAACCTCTCCCCCACCCCTCCTCCCTCCCTCCCTCCCCCACCTCCCTCCAGAGCCCACAGCCCCTCCCCATAAACCTCCTCAACCCCTTCACACAAACACCGCCCGCCCGCCCCCTCCCCCCCTCCCCTCTCAAGCCCGCTCGCTTGCGCGCGGTTGCGCGTCCGCCCCGACCATTACGTCATCGTCGCGTGACTCGAGACGATACAATATCACCCCCCACCCACACACCACCCACCCCCACACACACCCGCCCCCAACCCCCCCACACACACCACCCACCCCCACACACACACGCCCCCAACCCCCCCACACACACCACCCCCACACCCTACCCCCCCACACACACCACCCGCTCCCAACCCCCCACATCACCCACCCGCACCCTACCCCCCCACACCCTACCTCCCCACACGCACCACCCAACCCCCCACACCACCCACCCGGACCCTACCCCCCACATCACCCACCCGCACCCTACCCCCCCACCCTACCCCCCCACACCACCCACCCGTACCCTACCCCCCACACCACCCACCCGCCTCCCCTCCAACCCATACCTACACAATGACCCCGCCCCTCCGCCAAGCGCGCGCCCTCCCTGCCTGCCTTCCCCCCGAGTGCGCAGGACCCTCATTGGTAGGCAGCGCGTATCCCGCCTCCTCGTCCGTCACGTGACGGGCTCGTCAACCAATAGACGGCATCTACGCCCACCCCCCCCACCTTATCTGTTGTGTAAACCCCCCCCACCCCATACGCATCAGCCCCTCCCCTCTTCCCCCACCCCCATTCCCGTCCGCGTCCCCCTCCCCCTCCCCGCATTTAATAATTTATTTACCTACTCGATGGGGGGGGGAGGGGAGAATAAGGGGGGGGGGGCGGCTGATTAGACACGCCCACTGCGAGGCCATCCTCCAATCGGAGCGCTCGTTACATCGTGGCCCTGCCGTGACGTCCGGCGGACCAATCACGAGGCTCGTGCCGTGGTCGTCGGGTCGTCGCGGCGGTGAGAGTGGAGTCGGATGGCGTTTGATTACGGTGTGTGTTGGTGGTGTGTGCGTGTGTGCGTGCGTGTGTGTACGTGCGCGCGTCTCTATGTGTATGTGCGTGCGTGCGTGTACGCGCGTGTGTTTTTATCCCCATTCCCGTCGCGGCCGCGCCTCGGGAGCGAGAAGGGTACGGCGTGGTGGTGTTGCCTTGCCTGCTGCTGCTGCTACTGTTTTGCCTTGCTGCTGCTGTTGCTGCTGTTGTTGCCGCCGCCGCCGCCCTGCGCCGCGCTGTCATCGGCGTTCTACATTTTTATTACGTTTTCTGCGAAAGGAGGAGGAAGGGGGGCTGGAGGTTGGTGATGGTGAAGAGGTGGTGGTGGGGGGAGGAGGAGTAACAGAGAAGTGGGGGAGCGCGCGGGGGGGGTGGTTGTTGTGTGTGAGAGAGGAGGAGAGGGGGGGGGTAGAGACCGCGTCAACTAAAGCAACGCGAGACAGCGCGATAATACGAGAGAATAATGTAAAAAAATAAAGACGGAATCAACATAAGATGTTAAATAATTAAACAAGAAGAAGAGGAGGAGGAGGAGGAGAGAGACGGCGGGAGGGCGCCGAGCGGCGGAGCGTCGCGGCCAGGAAAAGATGGCAAGTCCGAGGCTTGTCGCCACGACTAGGCCCTGCCCGCAACACACAGACGGGGGAGCGAGGCGACGGGAACGACTAAAAGAGACACAAATCTCGCTTTTGTCGCATCAGAAGCGACGTTAAGATGTTGTTTGTACTCGCCGACGACTCGGGGTTGTGTTTTGACAGCGCCACGACCGCGTTTGTTGACGATTTGTTTGTGAGCGCGGCTGGCGATGAGGCCTTGGCTGTTGTGAAGGAAGTGGTGGTGTTGGGGGGGGTGTTCGCTAGGCCCGGGATTCGTGGTGGTGGTGTTGGTGTCTATCGGTCTCTCTCTCCTCCGTCCACGTCGCACGATCTCTTATTAAAGTCGAGGAGAGAAAAGCGATATCGTGAGGCCGGTCGTGGAGTATGAGAGAGATGTTTAGACGGGAAACGGGGTCGAAGCATTGGGTAGGCAATGCGCACTTTTCTTCGTGCTTTGCCGCGGCGAAGTATCCGATGGTGGTGATGGTGGTGGCTGCTATTTTTAAGCGACGTTTTTATTTATTTTTTATGGATTGAAGGTGGCGTTTATGTGAACATCAGAAGCCACAGCAAGCGACTGCATTAGCAGCAGGCAGCTGTCGACCACCGGCGCGGTGTGGACATAAAATGAGGGGGGGTAGTGTTGGTTCCTTTTGAGGTTGTCTCTGAGTCGTGTGCAATGCTTGCTATGTGAGAGGGCTCTTTCTTTGCCGTGGCTCATTGTGATGGCCAGTTTAGTGAAGTATGGTAATCCTCCCTCCCTACGAACAGCACGATTTGGGAAGGCCCTCATCCAGCAGTGGATTTACAAATGGGTTGTGCGTATACATGATATAAGGATTGAGACGTTTTTGAGCCATTCCAGATAGGTTAACGCGCAAATGTCAACAAATGATGATTTTTCCAGCCGGCTCGTTTGTTGGGTCTGGTGCCTGGATTTTATATTATCCGCGCCACCGTGTTATTAAAGTGGAGATCCTTGAGATCACCGTTGTGTGGTAATTTTCTCGTTTCATCATGTTGACCGGTTTGAATAGATTTATCGGGGCCTTTGTGGGTGCTGCAGTGCTTCTTAGATGGTCGTCCTCGTGTGATGGGATGTAAAGTGGAACGCTGTCACGTTTTGGCATGTTGGCAGGATGGCATGGAGTGTGGAAGGTCCCATACAGTACGTGTTGTCATCGTTTAACGGTAGCTCTAAAGCGCACACATGTAATGTTGGAATCTTATATTGCCTCTGTTGTGTGTGCAGCATTGTAAACAAACAGAAAAAATACTGAACAGCTTTCCTTCAGAAACGTGTTTTTTAATTTGCTATGGTTGTGTTTTAACGAGCATGCATTCACTGGTTTAGATAGCATCGCAGTGGGACTTTCTCACAGACACTTTTATTTGCATTCTTAAAAATTCAGTTTGCTAATGCATAGGAGAGGTACAAAAGCATCTAGGGCCCTGTCTGAACTATTTATTTGGCGCTAAAGCACCGCTCTTTATTTGCTAGGATGACTTTCATCCGTAGGTTATCTTTCAAACATGAATCCTGCCCCTTGACTTTCAATGCCGGCCTGTGGAACCGTGATATATTTACACCTCGAACGATTGCAGAATCACACAAAACCTCTAGACCACGGAAGTACTTGGTCGCTGAAAATACACAAGTACCGTGCCTCATTGTCTTAAAAATAACAACATTGAGTTAGATGGGAAGGTTTTTTTCAATACACAGAATTCAAGTTGAGAGTTGGTCTTCGATTGTGTTTTCCAGGCATTGGTCCTAATGTATTCCGTTTTGAGACTTTCAGTTTGCCATGCTTTGTGAAAGAATAGACTTGAGGGTTTTTCTGTCTTCAGCTGAACTTTAATACGTGCGATTTTTGCATGCCAGTGGATTTTCTGTTGCAGGCAGTAACTTGTACACGGGCTATAAAACCTTCAGCACTTGAACCAATTATTGGTTCACACGTAAAGCAAAAAATGAATCGCTACACCCAGTTTTCCATACATGCCTTATATTTGTTCCATAAACTTAGGTGTCAAAAGGCAGTACAGTATCTCGTTTGTGTACAGTAACTGTTTGTCCCAGTTTAATGGCATTGGTGTTACACATTAACAGCTTTTTTAAAATGTCTGCCAACGAACTTTATAGTATGTAGAAAGCAGCATTTATGTCTCAATGCCCTGCACCGTTTTCTGTCCCATACAACCATGTCCTTGTATGCTTGTTAAGCTTTTGCAAAATTCATAACGATGAGCCGTGTAGAGATCTTTAGCGTGTAATAATGTCTCCCACCTTAACTGTGCATTGCTTTTGTAAATATTGTGAACGTTGTGTGCAGCGGTGTGATTTTTTTTTTTTGGTAAGATACAGGTCCGTTATGCAACATTGACATTCAAGTTTGGTACAGTGAGATGGCAGCAGCATTAACACACCAGCCGCATCGGTTTTTTGTGTGCGGTGCTGCAGCTGTTCATAGCACCTTTGTTTTTAAATAGAATGACGCACAAGCACAGCCTTGGCAGGACACTTGCAGGACTCTGAACAAATCTAGATAGATCTCTACTCTTTGTAACCCACATTACGTGCTGCTGCACTGTTATGTCGTAGTCTTGGGGAAACGGCAGTGGTCGTGGAATGAAGGGGGGGGGGGGGATACAACAGAGGTCGAATGAGGCCCGGTAGTGTGGCTGTAATCCAGGCTACGTGCATCCATTATCAGCAGTCAGTATTCGTACTGCGGTTGTTGCTGAGTAGGCCCAACACGTCCATGAGGAACGGAGGGCACACACACGTTCGCTATACTCGTGTTGAGCCCTCCTTTGTACGATTAGGCAAAGCAACTGCCATGGCATGATAACAATGCTATTACTGGCTACTTCAATAGCCACTTGCTGGTATTTGGCCCTCATGTTAACATACATGTTGATGAAGAATTCCGTACACATATGTGCCCCGTATTTATTTTTGCCCGCCTTCGCTTAGCGAAAACTTGCATTTACGCGTTTAACATTCCACGAGAACATTTCAGTGATTGCACATTTGTGCATACAGTGTTCTCCATTGTTTCATTTCAATACAGTTCTGTGCAGTGTTGGGCTTGCTTTGTACTGTTGTACTGAAACTCCTGATGCATCGTTTTTTTTTATATTGGATTAAACATGCATTTTTCAAGATTCAAAAATATGCTTTGAAATGTTCAAAAAGGAAGGTTTTCTTCAGTGTAGGTTTTTGGACAGATTGAACCTCGGCCATGATTTCGGCTTTTCGTTATAGTGTTACTACTGGTTTTGTGGCAAGACTTTTAAGATTTCCGTGCTCAATTCGCCATGTACTCAAAGCATATAGTACTAGAATCAAGCCGACTGTTCTTTTATTACCCAGTTAATGAATCCCTATCGACAATAACTTGTATCGAAAATGCAAGTTTGCAAGCAATGGTAAAGTGTAAAGCCCTATTCTGCTGTCTGGACCTTTGTATGATATGTAGGACAGCTTGCAGAACTTTACTCCGCATGAGACGACATCTAGAGTTGACAGGGTTTTTTCTCCATCAGGATTTACCCACATGGCAGCTTGCATGGCTTCTATAATCTGAGCTTACGATTCGAGGCACACGTCAGGGCTGATGTTTTGCTGGTGGTGGGCCCCCCTGTATTCGGCCGAGAGTAGTAGCCTCTGGATGGAAGATGAGAGATGAGCTACCGTTATAAAGCCAGTCTTGTTGACTAGAAGCTCTGTCTGCTTGTACAAGGCCGCATTCCGGAAAGCTTTAATCTGTCTTGTACCTAGAGTCATCGTGATTTTATTGTTTCTCTTAGTGTTTCGGTTAAATTTAGCAGCGTGCTATCAAGGAGAGAGAAGGTACTTTTTTTCTTTCTGGAAGAGTGCAGTCTAATTGTTTAATAAGTTTTGCCATTACGGCCACTGTTAGCATAGTGGTTTTAAATAGAATAAAATGTAATGGGCAACGTTTTTGTGTATTTGCTGTATTTTAAAACGTCTTCATCACCATTAATGTGAGTGTACAGCAGTTTAGATCCTCTCTGCCCATCATGTAAAGTTTATTTTGGAAAGAGTGTGGGTGCCACAAGGAAATCGAAGCAATCTGTACAGTAGATAGGTGATTGGTGTCTCACTGTACAGTAGCATTTAAACGTGGCAGACTTTACTGAACGTAGAGTTGACTTTTACAGGTACTGCACATTGCCATTTATCGTGTTTACTCAGTGTAGCAGTCTTGTTGTCGTCAGGACTTCCCATTGAAAACTGTTCACACATCACCATGCATTTTGTCCCTTGTTTTACACATTTTTACACAATTGATCTTTTTGGTATATGTTCTAAAAGTGAAATACTGCATCTACTTGATGGTAAATAATGTAATTGATCATGTAGGCATATATCACTATGAAGCTGAAAACTGTAATTTGGTTTAAATTTCGATTTAAAGCTTTCGTGACTGCAAGGATTCAGCTTCTTGGTTCTTTCGGTAAAGTCACGTAGAAGGGAAATAATAAAATAATAATAAAACCTAATAAAATACAATTCTCACAAGATGTAATTTGGTTTGTTTAATGTTTCCAATGTAAGTTAAAATAAAATGATTGCCTTCAGTGTGGACAATGAAGAAGACATCCTGTCTGTGGTGCCCTTAAGGATGACAGCATCCATTTGCTTTTATCACAGACTGCTAAACATTAAAACATGAAAACATCACTTTAAAAGAGAAAATTAGATTTGAAATTATTTAGCAAAGCCATCAAAAACCCTCTTCCCTGGAAGTAACTGGTATAATAACACTGAAATTAATGTCATTTCTGTTTGCTAATGAAAGCAATTAATATTTCGGTGGCTTCGAAGTTTAGTCAGAGTAATGGTCACACAGATAAGATGTGGGTTATGGAACAGTTCTAAACCAACCATATCACAGTCCTTATAAAATATGCAGCCTCCTAGATAAACAACAACGTGAAGCGTTTACATGTTCTCTCCGTTGCCTTCCTAAAGGCTGGCGGTGATGTTCAGTTTTCCACACTGAAGAAAGCTTGGAATTAAAACAAAGGGGTTGTTTTAAAGACAAAAGTACTTTTAAAAACACATCTCTACATTGTGCCATTTGTTCTTAAGGGAAATATTCGAAAGCCTGAATAAATATTTCTATTTGGCTTAACCAAGTAAGCTAAATTGCAATTTCCTGCCACAGTTTTCATTACGTAAACAAACTCAGGAAATCTGTAACATCATGTGATGTGCTTTTAAGATGAGATATTTTGCGCACCAGTTTACTGTAGTATGTATGTGCTATTTCCTACTATTAAGATATCAGATTTTAGTAAAATATTGTCCTTTGTTGAAAGTGGGGGGGGGGAGGGGGGAGGTTTCATTAATTAACTGCAATAGAACTCCCAATGTAGGTGGTCGAATGCATGATTTGGAACTTTTACTGCACTAATGACATTGCGTTACAACCCGGTTTGTTAAGATTTTGCAAAGAAAATAAAAACAGCCAAACTTCTCTTCTCAATAGATTACATAAAACTGAAGATTATGAAGCGTTCCTTGGAGCTGTAGTGGCGTGTTTGGAGTTTATATGTGTGGTAAATTTCACATTGGTGGCACGCACATTCATAGAAAAGATTACGTAGACAACGTATTATTTCTCCAAGGCAGCCTTTGTTGCATTTTCACATAAAGCTGATCAGTCATAGGAATAGTTATCGAGGAATAAGCTAATTTTAATTCCAAATAAAGTGGTGGATATTATAATCCTCGGCAGAATGGAACGCCATGTACCGTTTTGAATGCTTTGTTGGGAATAATGTAGGGTCAAAGGCTAAAATAGTTGTACAGTGTTGATTGTTTCCCCAGACACAAATTGCGAAATAGCTGAGAATATTCCAGAAAGAATTCTGTTACATCGTTAACCTACTTTTTACCCGAGTTGTATTTTTTTTAAACATCTTTATAAAGAAATGCTTATACTCTAATGCAAACATCTTGTGGCCTCTGTATTAATCTTTATTATCATTAAAATCAAGACTAATCAATAAGTTTCACCACTTTAAATCCACTTTTATCGAGTGTCTTATATCCAAGTATGCCATTCAGAAACATAGCTCTTTACCTCCTCTCTCTTCACTTCTGTACACAACATTGCATCATCTTATATGTTCACAAAAAATATGCCATACCTCTGTACATGTTAAAGCAACGTAATTGGATCGATCTTGTGAGGTTCTTGTCAATAAACTAGGAGGGTAAAATATCATCGGTGGAATGATGCTATACCCCACCCCCGTAAATTAATGAATTGCTATGGTTCGTTTGTGATTCAATTCAAGAATCGATTATTTTTATTTGCATTGTCGTGAAAGGTATAGTGGCTTGCAGAGGTGGTGACATGAGCACATTACATAGAATATATACGAATAAGTAACACATCTATCCTCACACACACAATTTGATGCACGTATCATGAGCTGAAGAATCAAATATTCATTGAAAAATAATCTATCTCTACTCAGCCGAGAGGTTGCATTTACAGACCTGCATTCGTTTTGAAACCGTCCTTGGGGTGGTGGGATATTCACATTGACGAAACAAACTTGAGGAAGTTTGTTACCGTCAAGTTTCACACTCTCGTTGGATGTGATCAATTGTGGTTGATGTTGACATTGTTTTGGCTGGCAGAATGCAGAGTCTGCTTGTGGCGTTAAATGTAAGCCTCAGCCATTGGAGCTTAAAATATGTGGGAATGGTAAATGACAGTTTTAGTGTATGTTGTGTGTTTGGAGCCTTGCTCATTCAAGGTCGGTGTTTTTAGGTACACAGAAGGCCTCGGGGAGTGTCAAGGCCTGGAAGGATTAATGGAGGCCTCTTCTGTGTTCTTGAAGGTTTTGTCTGTATGGAAATAAGGTCTGAATTTGTGCAGTAAATTACATTTCTACAGAAAGTTCGTATGGAAATCACGCTTGTAGGGGCTTATAGCTTAAGTCATAGTGTATTCCTTTTTCGACATACTGTATTTAAACCCTTGAAATGCACTGCTTTATCCTCGTATGTGTATAGGAGATAGGTGAATAGATTTGAGAGCGAGGTGCTAAAATGCAAACCGGTCTGACCCATTTTGTTTACAGTGCTAATGTAATAGAATACAAGCATTTGACTATAGGAGTTACCATGATATTTTGAAACAAATAACATTGAGTGTGCTTTTAATATCACATTTACAGATCCAATCACCCTTAAAGTACATGTCGGCACAGTATTTTTGTGTGTGCTTGTTTGTATATATAGCTAGCTACTGTGTGTGTAGGAGTGTGCTTTTATATTTTAATAATGGCACGTACAGTGCAGGGTGTGTGTGTGTGTGTATTTTAAGGTCACGACGTAGTGGCAAGTTGGGTTTTAATTTAAGATCTATACATTATAGAATGTCGTGGAACACTAAAACATGAAATTACCTTGCCCAAAACACGATTGACAAAGAGGCAGGCAGGCAGGCATCGTCGTGTTCTGTATAGCCAGGGCAGTTTCCAGGGAGACTGTGTGCAGAGTGGAGATCAAGAGAGCCTGTGCCTGAATTTACAGTCAATGCTTGTGAGCAGTAATGTGAAAACCCGCATCTTCTACCGTTCCTTTCCCTCTCTCTCCATATTTCTAGGAACGTAATCAAAATATAAGAACAAGGAAAAATACGCTCTTACTGATTTTTTAGTAGGGCCCCTCACCGTTTGTGTTGTTGGCATTCGCACGAAATATCTGCGCACATTTTATCATGCGTTCGATTTATCAATTTGAGCCACCGCGAGACGTGTACAGTGCCGTTTACAGCATGGCCTTGCGAATTGTGGCCTGGCCTCCATGGGATTGTGCGTCATCGCCGTTCATTCAAAACACACGTTTACCCCCCCCCCCCTTCCTTACGTTCATTGACACGAACGAGTCTGGAGACCTTACAAAACCCGCTGCTGTTTTCTCTACCTTTAATTAGCCCGGGCTCAACAAATGAAAAACACCGTTTGTCTAGAGACCCTGGGTCGGTGGTGTCTCTAGGAAGTAAGTTCTGGAGGGGAAAAAAAAAATCAATGTTGTGAATGCTCAGTATCTCTCTCTCTGAGAGAGGTAACGGATTTTCAAGTAAAATGCCGGCGCGCTCTGTTGTTACAGAATTAAAGGTTCACAGTATATTTTTTTATTAAAACAATTTTGTTCAGCTTTTTTTCTGAAGCCATTCAAATGTTCTACTATGCTTTGCATCCTTGCAGCTGCACTTATCCTTGGCCAAATACGCTGTTGTTACAGAGCCAGCGTAGTTTACCCACATTATTATAATGGGTGCGTGCCTAAATTTCCATGGGGTCTTTGAGAAATGTGGCATTTCAATTGGATGGTAAATTATTGCAGTGAGAGAGCAGAGGAAGGGGGGGGGGCCCATTTTAAGGTGGTTCATTTCGGTTATCGAATGCTTCCACAACTTGAAACGACAGCCGACCAAAAGATTTAAACATTTGACCAGATGTACAGTAAAAATGCTCATCAAATTTGCCCTGGGAATGCATTTTTTTAAATGTTTTTTACCTACGTGACTTTACCGAAAAAACCTAAGAATATGAATCAATGCAGTCACGAAAGCTTCAAATCTAGAATTGGTGGTAAGGGGTTATGTGTTTTTGCGATTGCCTGTGAATTTGGCACTAAGCACCCATATTTTTTTTTCTTCATCATTCGCCATTCTGACAGACGGTGGACAATGATGTTGCGGACGTGTGAGTCCGGCAGCTGAAGCGATCGCTGGAAGATGCCCAAGTTTGGCCTCTCAAGGACTACACAGTCTGAGAGCGCAGCAAGCCACAGCAACATGGTGGAAAAACCTCTGGGAAAGGCACCCAGCACCAACAGCAATATTATGGAAAAACAGAACAAAAAGGTGAGACTTGGCAAATTACCTTGAAAAGCGTCACTAATCCATTTTATATGGCTCATGAGTATGCGGCCAAACCAGCATCTTTTTTTTAAAGAGAGCTTTTTAGGAACAAAGTGAGCCACTAACCAGCTTTAGTGGCAAATTGCGCCGCATACGAAAAGAGGAGGTGAGGGATGGCTCATGCACTGAACTTCCACGCCAGTGATTGCGGTTGAGTTTCAGGCGAGGAAGCTCGGATTTCCAACAATTTTAATTGGCCTCTGTACCCACTCGAGTCCTAACCCCTGCCCCTCCCCCACGGGTGGCAGACTGAGAAGCCCCCCTGCATTCTCACCAGAACCAGTTCTGCCGGACTTTTCCCTACTGCCCAGCCCAGATCAACCGGCCCTGACAGTGCAGCCAAAATGAATTCCTGGTGTTGAGACTCACTCTGGTGAGTCTCTACCCGAATGCTCGCTCGTTGCTATTTTGCCTTTTAAACCATTGAGGGTTATGTCTCGTTAAGTTCTTATTGTTTAAACAAATATATCCTACAAGCTACTAAACTCTGATTAGTCGAATGTATTATCGGTGTGTGTAACTGAAGCTTCGGAAACAACCCTATGAAATGAATGCATATTGAGGTCATGAGTAACTGAATATATTTGAAGCTATTGTGTGCCTTTGCTAAAGGGATGGAGGCCTAACCCTGAAGTTGCATATCATTACACTATCATTGCATCGCCATGCACACTACTTGACAGCGCTATCTTTTATGTTAAGATATATGGCCCACACGAGCAATATATCAACTCGACAGTGTGTGCTTTTAATGTATTTTAAAATATATCTTTGAACAGATTTGGATCCCAACGCCAGTTCTACAATTTGATGTTCGGTTTTGGCATCATTTTGTGATATAATTTTGTAACTTGCTTTGAGAGTGGTGTGATAAATAACATTAATCGAATCTGTAAACTATTATAAAAACCCAATCACAACATAAAAAATGCACAATCTCCCTATGGTGTGGAAGTGAGGAATCAAAATGTTTTCTAGAGGCAGACTCTACAGCGGTGAGCATTGATCAACATGCTGTACTGATGCGTCCTAAAAAGGATGAAACCAGTCCACAGTCAGATGGAAATTTTTGCTCAAATTCATTTTGATGGTGACCTAAGATCAGCAGACTACAATGCACCTCTTCTGGAACTAAAAGGATGGTTATTTGCATAATGTACCAAGTCTTGAGTGTTTAATAACATTGTAAAGTTATTAATAACTTCACTTATCATACAAATGTTCTTAACCCTCAAAGTTAACAATTCATTCATAGTCCTATGTAGTGTGATTTTTTTTTATTATTACAGCTCTACTGTGCGATGACGTTTGTAATTATTGTACAAGGTTGTTTTTCATTGTAACTCTGTTAAACGTTCATTTAATTATTAAGGATAAGGAGAAAGCTGGCGAAAACCGGATACCCAAGTTGGACCGTGGTGAACTGGAAAAGGATGGGAAAGATAAAACATCCAAACGCAAGCTTCCTTTCGCCAGCAGCCCTAACAGTCACCAGCACAACAACTCTGATTCTGGTAACCGTTGCACTCAAAAGCCTCGGCTTAACGAGAGCTTGTTTCAGCTTTTGGGCCTGCGGGAATGCCTGCGAGTTGCACATGACTGTTCTCTACCGCCAGTGGCAATTCACGGTTGAACCGATTTCATCATACGAATGCGCTTGAAATCTGTTGAGCTTTCCCCTGGGTGTGGGAGCTGCATCAAAAATTGTGTTGTACAGGGATGTTGGCATGCTTTGCAGGTTTCTATTAATCTCTGCAAGTGCCCCTTCTCAAGCCACAACAACATTTGCTTATCCATTGGCGTGCTGTTGTCTACAAAGCAAAGCACACATTGGTATGCAGAATGGGAATTGCACCATGGTGAAACCGGCATACATTACATACTGCAATGTAACTTTTCAAAGAGGTTATTTTGATGGCTATTTCAGTTTCAATGTAGAGCTTCTGACATGTAGATAAGTAGTCATTGTTGTGCGTCATCTGTTGATTCTGGCCTATGGACATAAGTTTAGAACGTTTAAGTTGTTCCTTTTATATGTGATGGTGCTTTCTTAAGCTTAACTTGAATGGCTATGTTGGCAAGGTAATGGCCTCCGTTTATATTTTTTACACAACTCTACTGAGCAATGTTGTACTTATAGCCGGCAGGATATGGAGGGGAAAAAAGCCTGCTGCACTGTAACACTGTCTAAAATGGAAGAAAGAAGATGAAAAAGAAAATACAGGCCGGACCGTTCTTTGATATAGATCTGAAAGGAAGTTGGAATAAGTTGTGGTTGTATATCGCGAAGCTGATATTTCTTAACCCAGTTTGGTAGCTTTTGTGGTTTTGTAGAATGCCAGTCGTGTGACCACACGATGGGATGTTGTCTGTTTTATGACCCATTCCAGGCCTCTATGTCCATGAACAAATTATAGATATACTGTACGTTGGTATACCGTAATGGGCAACAGCAATGTGGAAAATTGTTTTAAAAAGTGCTTGTTGCAGGCCTGCGCCATCAGGCCCTGTAATCTTATTCTTCCCAGTAATTTCACTGGTCTTATTTCTTTATTTCCTATTCACTTTCTGGTTTTCCTTTTCGTTAGAAAAAACATGGTTGTAAAATACGAACAACCGCAAGTGCTTAGAAGTTCAAAGTAAACATTAGACCTAAGTGTTGGGCAGGATACAAGAAAAAGTGTAATAACAGTTGAGCTTTCCACAGGATGCATTAGGGTGAAGAGCAGCAAGGAAGCACCATTAGTCTTAACAGATGGAAAATAGTTGTTTATACATTTTCTACCTGACCTCTGACAATAACAGATGACCGCCATACTAGTAATGTAAATTGGATTCGGTGGATTTCGTCTCCTGCACAAGATAACCTTTGATCAACCTGTTTGACCCACGACGCAAGGTTGTGGTCAATTCCTGGTGTGTTGTTTACATCGATTTGCCGAAAGGCATTCGCCGAAACACGAAGCGAGCTTGATGTCTTGCTCGGCGAATGGCTGTTTTGATGTTTGTTAGAATGTTGCCGTTTTAAGCCACGCGTTGCATCATGTAACCATTGCCAAGTGAAATGTGCACAAAGATTATTTTTAAACGCGGGTCGCGTGAGAATTTGAGTCCACCACGAGTTGTGTTTTTCGCAAACATGATTTCCAGACATTTTTTGGTACAGTTGCTTTGGGGCGCACAGTTGTATGGACTCCTAGACATTCACCGGTTTTTTGGTTTTTGGGTTTTTTGTGTTGCTTTCATTCCCACCCCTTGCCCCACACCCCCCTCCCTATCCCACACTTCTCCCTCACCTCGGCCCTGTACCCCCCCCCCCCCCCGCTGCCATCCCCCACCCTTCCCTATGCACTCTCACCACCTCCTTCCACACATCTCTCCATCCTCCCCTCCCCCCCATTTCGAAACCTTCCGTGTGATGACCAGACTCTGACTGTGAACGTTCGAACGATTCGTGGCTCGACCGTTCGACTTCTAACATCTCTTCGCCGTCTTACAAAACGCACACAGGTACTTTGATCGCGGACACTGACTGGCCCCCCCAATCCCTTATCCATATTCACGGTCGCATTTCCTCGCCTTTCCAGTGCCTTCATTAGCCCACGCTGCTTTAATTATCGCAATGTTGGGACTTTTGTGGTTTTGCGAATGCAGTGTCCTCGAAATAACTTGAGCAGACATGTTACGTCCTGCATATGAGGTATTAAAGAGGGGGGGGGGGAGATGGGGAACCCTTAAAAAATTGGAAAAAACTTTTTAAAGCCTGCACTCCCGAAGCAAAATGTTTTAACTGTTTACAAAGCAATGCATCTCCCTTGCTGTGCAGAAAAGTCAAGTGTTGGGCAGTGTCAGATTACTACTGAACTGCACTGTAACCACTGTAGCATTGGATTTAGTTTTAGAACTGGTGATTGGACACACTGGACGTCTGTGAAAAAGAGCGTCATAGCTCATCGGATTTCTCCACAGTCTAAATATAGATTCTGATTATTGGTAGTTTCAGTGGTGTAGCTTTACATTGCTGCTATGTAGCCTTGTTTATTTTGTGAAATTTTCAAGACAAATAACGTTACAAGCTGTAAATGGGTCAAATGTGGTCTTCATGGAAACAATACTGTTTTATTAATCGGTTATGCCCGGGGCACTATGTTATGCCCGTATTTCGAGGACCCTGTATATTTGCCTGATTGTTGTGAACCACTCACTGCTATTGTTGTTGTACTCTGAATTGCAGTTTTATTTACGCCTTTTATTTTGTTCCCAAGCCATGAAATTGTAACTTGGTATTCCGTTGATGCAAGTATTTTGCCATGTAGATTATCCAAAATATCTACAATCAGTGATTTGAGTTTTGTTTTAAAGGGTTTAAAAATTGTTACACCAAAATATGTGTTATTGGTGGGCATCTTGGTTCTGCTGAATGCGGTGGAGTTTCGTCTTCGTGTTGCTTGAACTCCTCTTTCAATGTTCAAAATTCAGCATTTGCGGGCTACCGTTTTTATCAGACGCTTTAAAGTACACAGTTGTTTATTTGCAGACCCAACTCCTGCTGTTCTTTTATTATTTTATTAAGAGCCGATAAGAGATGGGTTTGTAGGTTGGCCTTCTCTACGCCGCCGTCTCTGCTGAATACAGATGTACGGATCGCCTGATCACGACAGGAAGTAGTGAGCTGATTTTGTCTGCAGACGTCTATTAATGAGATGGTGCTCACTGATTGCCAGAGGTTTTAGTCCAGCCTAGGAAAAATTTGCCCAGCTGTAAGTGCCATATTAAGTGCTTCCATGTGCTCTTGTGTGCTGCTCATGTGCCTGAGATTCACGATGCACATTGACATTTTTTCTGGGTGTATGTCAGGGTATTGTACTATGAATAATGCATTCTCTGTATAAGCAGCAAGGTATGGATCTTGGTGATAATATGCCTGTGTGCTTTGTCTCATAACCAATTACGAGATTTTAATATCCGTCTCGAGGTAATGCTGTGCAAAAAAAATCTCAGGAATGTTATTCTATTATCTTGAAAAAGCATCATTATTCGACATTTCATTTCCATACTGTATGGCCTATATGTATTGGCAGTCACTGAAAGAGTCGGTTATGTTTAAAGGTCGTTGGGTTTTTCCTGTCTGCAAATTGACTTGGTAAGACATGGTAGGTTTATGTTTTTGCTTGATATCCGTTGAGTTTTGTGGTTGGGCCTTTGGCACAGCCTTGAATTGTGAGTGATACTAGTGGTTTGGAAATCGTGTACACATGTGAAGGTTTTCTTTCCTCCTATTATTACTTTAGTTCCATGGCCCCAGCTGAAGACATTCAAGAGTGTTCTTTTGCAATGTTTACTGTTTGTGATCGTAAAAAAAGAGCTGTATATGTACCAAATTGCGGTAAAGAGTTTAATTGTCTCAATCGGCACAACAGCAGTGTGTTTGTCCATCTGCAAGCTGCTCGGTGGAGTAAATATTGAATGTACACTGCTAGGCACGGCCTAGTCGGCAACGTGTCCCAGAGGAATCAAAAGCGGCACTCGAGCGAGTGGGCGAGCGAGCGCGCGCACACAGCACAGCCGCTGCAGCTATTTTGGGCTCTGGGGCTTCTGTCGGCGCATGCGAGCGCGTGACCCGTTCATCAGGAAATGGAGTGGGGGGTGGGAGAGTTGGAGAGGATGGAATGGGGCCGAAGCGTGGGGTTGGGAAGAGTGGGTGTGAGGCAGGGCATGCTGGGAGAAGAGAGTGGATGCAGCAGAGAAGCGAGTGTGGGGGTGGGGGTAGCTGTGGCCCAGCTTGGATGTAGGTTTGCTGCACTGTCTTTCTGGGATGCCCCGTCAGCAAACCAATTGCGTTCATGAATGGTCGTCGGACCCCCACCGACCATTCACATCGTGCCCCAGAGCTCAAGTTTGCAATTGACATTGAGATAATGCAGGTCTCTGGGTTTTATATTTCACACTTTGTCACGTGTAATTTTTAAAAATAAAATATTTAGAAGGCGCTCTCGTGGTTGAGACACGCCATATCCTTGGTAGTGTGGAACTGGTGAAGGGTCACCCGCTTTACTATCCCATTCGGTTAAATAGAGTGCTCAAGGAGGAGTCGGATGTCTAAAATATGATCCGTGATATTGTTGTATTTAATATCATATTTGCACAAGATGCATTGCATGTAATCCTACCTTGCACACAAGGATAGTGTTGGAAAGCGACCCTAGGATACCTTATGGAGACATTCACGCGACCAATTTGCATCAGTGAATGACAAGACATAAACGCAAGGACTCTGGGTGTTATGGCTACAGGCAATTTAAGACTGAATGGTAGGTGTTCATAGTAATGTATTTTCATTGTTTTGTAATGTTAGTGTTGGAATTTAAGCATGGTTTTAATATATATAAATAATACATGTAAGCATGAAAATATACAATACACTAATGTAAAGAACACCCTATAGCATTATTTCTTGGTATAAAGGGCACAGAATGTTTCATGCTATAAAACCGTTATAATTGTGCATAGGGTATTTTTAACATATAATTCTGAGCATTGCATATGCACAGTGCACACACGCCTTCTCTTTCGCACACACACACACTCCAGCTCTCCTCGCACAACACATGCGCGCGCGCGCACTCACACTCGCACGTGCCTGTGTTTGCATCGCAGAGAAGCCAGCGCCTCCTGAGCGCAAGCGGATGAGGAAAGACTCGGGCAGTGCCCGCAAGGAAGCGGGTGGCGGTGGTGGCCGAAAACTGGGCGCCTTTCTGAGCCAGTCGCCCGGCCTGCGCCTCGGCTATCCATTGTCGGAGCGCCAGCAGATGGCATTGCTCCTACAGATGACTGCCGAAAGTACCAACAGTCCAGGTTAGTGATGGCTCTGGAATGCACGTGGTCTGCAAAGTGAATACCTCTGGTTGTACAAAAAGGACCCTGCAATAGGAGGGCATCGGATGTGTATTTGTGATAAGGCCTCACGTTCAGCTGCACATAATGATGGAGCTTGATGTATTATTAGACCACTGTTGTGATCTTTCGTTCACAATTGAGTTGAGGAATTGTTTGGGGTGGGGGGCGAAGTAGAAGCACTTGGTATCCTTTCGCGTGTCTTTGCCGGTAATAGACGGCGTGGCGAAGGACGGCGCCCCGGGTGCGGCGACGGGGCAGCGCAAAGGGTCGACGGGTGCAGCGCGGCCCAAGGACAAAGTGAACAAGCGCAACGAGCGCGGAGAGACATCGCTGCATATGGCCGCCATCCGGGGAGAGGTGCGGCAACTCCGTGAGCTCATCTCGCGCGGTGCTGACGTGAACGTCAAGGACTTCGCAGGTGACGACGCTTGTTCACGGACTCATATTCACACCGTTTTTTTTTCAGATTGCAAGCGGAACCTTGATGATAACGGCGCATTGTTAGCAGCTGAGCAAAAGGAACATGAAAGTTAATGGGTGGTTAACCAATGTTTACGAATTTATTTTGTCAGAATGGGTCCTTTGTGTCAAGGTAGTAAATTGAGAGAATTCTCATTTTAATTGCACATGTGTCACCCATGGCTGTCTAGGGCTATGCATGGCTCTCCTGAGCAGCTTGTTTTTTGTCGGAGACCTGGAGACTGGTGTCCAACACCAAGTGCCTCGAAGATTTCCATATGCGTTGTCATCCTTGGGATCCAGTAGTCTGACTGTCACAAATGTCACCGTGCCATATCCTGCGCCAGTCTCCCAAACCGAGAGAACGACATCCGACACCGCCGTCTGAGCCCTATTTGGGCACGTAGCTCGTCTTCAACGGGACGTTCCAGTTTACCTTGCGCTGTGGTCGAGTGTCAAGAAGAGATCTGGAACAAAACCTGACCGTGTGTGGGATCCACGCTTAGCCTAGTGCTCTCACGGACAGCACTCGATGTGGCTAGGGGCGATGGGTCACGCAACCTGGAGGAGCATTTCAAACGGCCCCACTGATGGCTTAGCGACTGCTACAACCTGAAATAGGTTCTTTCGTCACAGAATAATGACAGCAGACAATAATAATCCCTGCAGTCACGAAAGCTTTAAATCGAAAAATAATAATGATGATAATAGGTAGTAAACGTCTAAAGCAATGAGTATAATGTAAAGGAAACCAGACGTTTGTGTGGGTCATAAAAAAGTATATATTTCACCCTCCCTCACCACCCTGCAGGCTGGACACCTCTGCACGAGGCGTGTAACCATGGCTACTATGCTGTAGCCAAGCAGCTGCTCCTTGCTGGGGCGGACGTGAACACCCGCGGCCTGGACGATGACACCCCACTCCACGATGCCGCCAGCAACGGATACCTGGGCGTAAGATCTGACGCACGGCAAAACAAAATGTCCAATAGTTACAGTGGCCGCGATTTTTGCTTGCTTCTCAGTGCTTAAGTGGGCAGCATTCAGACACGGAATTAGACCTGGAATGACATGTCCCTCTTACATCTTTATCATCACAATTTTGTTCTGGAGTCGGTCTGATTTGGTCTGTTCTCTAGTGGAAGCAGGGGTAATATAGATGGTATGTAATATTGAAAATGATAGATTGTTACATACACAAATGGATGCATAGGATCCATATTAGTGCATCATTACACCCTTGGTAGGCAATGGAACCCTGGTTTGAGGCTTGAAATAAAATCGATTGTTATGCTCAGAAATGTATTTGTCTGATAATCGATCATTTGCAATGATAGTTATTTTACAGCAATGACATGCTAATGTTGAAATTATGCTCATGTTGAAAGCAAAACTGTATAAAAAAGAAACAATATAAGAGTGATGGTAAATATGAGACCAGGAATTTATTTTTTATTACCCCTTCATGAAATTTCCACAGAATGAAGATTTTAAGAATTGCTGCCCGATACACATACACACAAGGTGGTTTGTACATAAACAAGACGGGACACCCTTGTTGATGCAAACCTTGTTTGCACTGATTGACCGTGGCAGTGGGTGCACGTAACTTGGTATGCAAACCACACAAAATTGAATGTAGCTAGTTATGTCCTGACAAGGAAGTCCCAGGATCCGTTTCTAAAATGTGACTCCTCAATATGCAATGATTTGACACACAGAAGGATAAACTAACTCTGCTAAATATCGCTTTCTTACGTGAACATTACCGAGTTAATTCACGACTGCTGAGTTACGCAGTCTCCATTTCTCGCAGTTAGTTCCCCTTTCATGCCAGTGCCATTATTACCGATCATTTCAGTGGAATGACTAATTAATTGTTGTGAATAGAGAATATTGGTGATCGTGGCACTCAAATAACATTTGTGTAATTCTACACCATGCTATATACTTGCGTAAAACTGCAGTTCAGTTGTGTAAAAATGTGTTACATCACTTCCTTCTGTGGTGTATTGGCTTAAAACAAGCTTTTCTCTCAAATCGGAAAACACTGACCATTTTCGAGTCTACCACTTAAAGCTTCCACTTCTTTGTGTTTTCGCAAAAAAAACGTAGCCCTGAGCGAGGAAGGGTTAGAGTAAGGACCAGAGAGGAGCTTCTCATCGTGGCCAATCCCCAAAAGTAGTTACAAGAATAAATGGCATTAAACCCTAAATGGATTACGGACACTTCCACTTATTGCCACGGACAGTGTGTTTGTGTGATTAACACACGAGGAGGTATGACGACAGATGTTTGTTTCCTGTTGTTTTGTGCCCATTCAACCACATTCTAGCAATATGCAGTGATTTGGTGAAATGAGCAACAGTGTGTACTTTTTCACCTGTTTTTGTTTTCCCTCATTTCCTTATTTCTCTCGTGTTTTTTTTCCCAGATCTCCTTTATAAAAGACTTGTTTCCTCAATAGTCTTTCCACCTGGTAAAATGAGCATTAAGGACTTTATCGTTATTTATCATGTTGCACATGAACCGAATTTAAATGAAAGAAGTATTTGTAAAAATGAAAATATTGTAATAAATCTATTATCTTTAAATGGACAAGTTACAAAGAAAACAATTAGGAAAGGAAGTGCGTGTATTACATTTAAGTCCAGCAAGCAATGGATCTTCTGGACAAATTATTTTCAGAAGACTATTTTAAGACAAGCCCTAAACCAATTAGGAATTATCCGCGTCTCGTTACCATTTTGTACCATCTTAATTTCGACCAAATAAGAGGTAGGAGCCATCTGCAATAAATTAATTATGTGGTGCCTTTTAAAATGTGTGCGTGTTTATATATCATCTCAGTCAGTTGACCCGTGGCACTGGGTCTGCCCTGTGACCTCCTGCCAGCGGACGTTCGACACTTCAAGTCGCCTCATCGTGTACATAGCTTGGCACATGCGTCGTGGTGATGTCACCGCCACTTAGTGGCGAATGTTATATATCCTTTACACCAGTGGCCCCCAACCTTTTTGGCACCAGGGACCGGTTTTGTGGAAGACAATTTTTTCACGTGTGGGAAAGAGGCGCGGACGGAAGTGGTAAACAAAATAATGGGGGCGGCCCACGCGCAGACTCGCCGCTCACCTCCTGCTGTGCGGCGGAAGTGAGCAATCCCGTCCATGTCACGTCTGCCGCAGGTGGTACGGTTGCTGATGCGGTACAACGCTGACCCCTACCAGAAGAACGCCAAGGGGGAGTGTCCCGTGGATGTCGCGTGCTCGACCACAGTGGAGAAGCTGCTGCGCAAGGAGCTGTCGTGGTCCGCCACCGAAGACAGCTCTGCAGGTTTGCACCTCTGCAGACGACACCCGCGGCTGAAAGGCAGAAGGGCGAAATTTTCTGCGCGTAGAATAGCTGTGTGCCGCTGGGCCATACGGCCAACTGCCTCTTGTCTGGCTGGAGGTGCCGGGGTGTGTGGGTGGTTTGGTTCCTACAGGTCAACACCAATAGTTCACGTGGTAGACACTGTACATGATAAATTTATACTTCATAACTTTTCCTGCGCAGACATCGTTTGCAAAGTTTAATTTGCAAAAAAGTAATCTCGTCTACTTTAAATAAAGAATACCAACCATGTTTATCAACTGCATATGCCTTTGCCACGTATAAAATGTTTATTGGTGGTATATATAATTAAACTTGTGGTTTATTAGCAGTAACATGATGTGATCAGAGGCAGCCTTCAATAAAGGTTGTTTTTCTCCCTTACCTTTTACTACTACAATTGAATGGGTACCTTATGATTGTATATTTGGTAATTCACTCTCACCAAATGTTAAAGTGTATTATTAAACTTACTTATAATGATGGGGAGCGGTTGTATCGTGGTTATCACGTTGCTGTCTGAACCCGGCGACCCTAGTTCGATTCCCGTCCATGGACAACACCAGTGATGAATATCTGAATCGATCTTGGGCCTCTCTTAGGTCGACTCGGCCTCAAATGAGTACCGCATACGGTGTGTAAACATGGCCGGGCGTGGTGTTGGCCACCCTCCCCCTTGTGTGTAGTGCAGACCTTCATAGGTGCTCCCTAAAAGCACTCGATCCCAATAGTGTGTTAAGGCTATATGGGGGATTTTTGTTGCCATAATACTCCCCAAAGTGTTTTATGGTTATATATTGTGTCCTACGGAATGTCTGATGCTTTGCTCAATGTGTTCTATGTGCTGGGAGCTTATTCAATTCCTGAGGAAGCTTCCCACATGCCGAGTAATAAGTACCTTTTAATATACACATGGTTCTGGATTGCCAACCCGAAAACACATTGGAGAGCGACAAAATAAACTTCTTTGCATTTGTAAAAGACGTGGACATGGTTTACCCTTTAGCTTGCAGTGGCTAACATGGAGGCACTCGCTGTATGTTGTTTGCTCTTTACAGACTCGGAGGAGGAGCCGGTGTCCGTGGCACCATCAGGCCCAGACGAGGACCTGTCGGACTCGGAGGTGGACGGAAAGCCCAGCAAGCACCACCGCAAGGCGCCCGCCACTCCGGGGAAAACCATCGGCGGCGGCACGGCCACGTCGGCCTCCACCGTGTCGACGCCAGCGCGGCCCGTCAAAGACGAGTACGAGTTTGACGAGGACGATGATGACCTCATCACTTTCAAGCCGGCCGACGACAAGCACCTCCTCAAAAAGGGCCTCAAGAAAGATCGAGACGATGACCCGGACTATGTCGTCAGCCCTCCTGCCAAGCACGGAAAGTCGGGCTCAACAAAAAAACCAGTGCTGAAAACGCGTAAGAAGGCGACTCGGAGGATTGAGTCGGACACTGAGAGCTCGGAGGAGGAGGATTTGCCTGTGATAGACTTTGGGTCGGCTTCCATAAAATACAAAACGGACTTTGGAAAGTCGACGCAGAGGTCAGATGTGACTAGTGGTGGTGGTGGTGGCGGCGTCAAAGAATCTCCGGCAAAAAACCAGGTCAAGGAGAAACCGAAGGAGAAACAGAAACTGAAAGCACAGCATCCCAACAAGGAGAACAACAAAATAGCGAAAGGAGAAAAGGCCAAGTTGGTGAACTCCTTGTTACTAACAGACTCATCGGACAGTGAGATCTTTGAGCAGCCAAAATTGCGGGAGGTAGTGCGGACATACAGTGGGGTGAAAACAGGGAGCTTGACATCATCGACATCATCGGTTTTGCTTACAGGAAAGTCAGATAAGCATTCAAAGGCTTCACGGGCGGACGGCCTGAAATCGGGGATGTCTCCAGCGAACTCGGATGTGAGCTTCCAGTCCGGCTCTGTACGTACTGAGCTGAACTCTGACTCGGATGACCGCACGTCCGAGACGTGCAGCAGCAGCGGCAAGTCGCTGAAGAGAAAGAAGAAAAACAAGCACCGGCGGCGGGAGAAATCGACGGAGAGGCCCACGTGGCACGTCGGCGACGCAGTGCTGTCCCCACAGGGGCGTGACTCGGATGCCACGCCAACTGGGTCGGGTCGCTTCACCGGGGAGGATGGAGCAGGTGGTCTCGCCCGGGCTGTGGATGTGGAAGGGAAGGTGGTGAAGAAGCACAAGGTGAAGCACAAGAAGAAGGACCGCGAGAAAGGGGACACCGGGCCCGAAAGTGAACGATCTGAGTTCAAGGGAAACACGTCGCGGCCGGCCACACCTGGGCGGTCGGCCGAGACAGGTGGCGGTGGGCGGTTCCAGACACCGCTGAGGTTGCAGAGCCCCCCGCCAGAAAAGCCACCTTGGGATGGCGCTCAGGAGGTTGACAACTTGGAGGTGAGGAGAAAGGAAGACAAGCTGAAGCAGTCGAAAGACGACCGGGAGAGAGACAAGCTGAAAAAGAAGAAGAAAAAGAAGAAAAAACACCAGAGCGACGGAGAGGAAGAGAGGAGAATCGGTTCACACCTGCATCGTACGAGCACGGACGAAAGGCTGTGGAGCCAATCGCCTGACCCTCATAACACGAAAACCCAATCAAGTCCACTAACAGACAACAAAAACTGCTTCCCAGTTGAGAGAAAAGAGAAAAAGAACATCCAAAACTTGGAGAAAAAAGAACAGAAGGACGAGCAGATATCCGAGAAAAAATCTAAAGACCTCGCTGCCGAAGAAAGACTATCAGCGCACCACTGGCATGGCACGGAGGAGAGGAGAGGCAGCAAGTCATTTGAGAAGAAAGACGATACGTCTCATCACACAGTGGCTCTGAAACATGGCGGGGATGATCGGCGAGCAAGTTTGAACACGGACAAGAAGGCAAAGGAGGAGCTTTTCCAAGCGCAGAGACCGAGTGGGGAGGAGAGGCGAGGGAGTCATTCAGAGAAAAAAGAGAAGAAAAACCAGCCAGATGATCGGAAATCGAGGGAAGAAGTGCCAGAGCATGTGCTTTTTCAGCAACACAGCGGAGAAGACAAGAAAGAGAGCTTGCAAAGGCACGGTCCTGATGAGCGGAGGGGAAGCCAGATGCCTGAGCGAAAGGAGAAGAAAGAGACAACACTGACAGAAAAGAAGTCGAAGGAGCATTCTGAGCAGGCAGTGTTACATCGAAAAAGTTCAGATGAAAAGAAGGAGAGTCAGCACAAGTCGGGTGTCGATGAGAGGAGGATCAAATCCGACCGAAAGGTTAATGATAATTCGCTGTCTCAGACTCACTCGAGCAGACAACCAAGCAAGGACAAGGAAGCAGGTTTGCAGACTGCAGCGGGAGCCTTTCAGAGGCTTAACAGCGAGGAGAAAAAGGGCGGAAGCCACCACAAACACAGCTCTGATGAAAGGCGAAGCAGCCTGCCAGGAGAGAAGAAACCCAAGAAAGATGAGCACTCACTTGACAGAAAGAATAAAACAGAGCAACCGCCCAAGGTGCCATCGGGGGCAGGGGCCCCGGTCACCGAGGAGCGTAGGCCGAGTATCCCAACGGAAAAGAAAGACAAAATTGTCACCCTTGAAAAGCGTGACAGGAGTGAGGCTGAGAGGAAGGAGAAGAAAAAAGTAAAAGAAACGTCGTCGGAGCAAGATGCCACGCACAAGCACCGGACAGACGAGAGGAGGGATAGCCAACACAAGCACAAGCCGCCAACAGGCGAGGAGCGGAGGGGCAGCTTTTCCACAAGCCAGAAGCTGAAGGAGAGACCCGCGCACTCTGTGAATCCAGAAGAGAGGAGAGCGAGTTTGAGCGTCATCTCTGACAAGAAGGATATCGCCGAGGTTCAGCAGCTGGAGAAAAAGGGCAAGGATGGATCAATGCTTCTCAAGGCAATGTCCGAGGAGGTGAAGACTGCTAAAAAGGAGACGCTAACAGCCGTAGCCTCGCTCGCAGAAAAAAAGAGCAAGTCGAGTCATTCGGACAAGGAAAAGTACAAGCGTGAGCGAGAAAAGTCATTGGAGATGGCTGAAAAGAAGTCTCTGAATAAGGATCGGACCAAAGAGAAAGAGCGAGAAAAGCCAGAGAAAAAGCACTTGGAGCGGGGGGATGGTACTCCTGCCACCACGGCTGCCACTACAAAAACAGAGCCCAAGTCGGACGACCACAACTCTGAGGTGGAAGAGATGTTCGAAAAGCTGTTCAACCGCAACCACCAAAAAACTGTGGACGAGTCGCATGACATGGATTATGATGAGGCAGCAGAGGCCAGCAAAGAACTGATTGCAGCTGAGAATCTGTCGTACATGGATTGGAACCTGAGCGAACCCGAGCTGGAGAGCATCGTATTCTGTCAGAACTTTGATGATGTCGATAAGGCGAAAGAAAGCCTGGACAAGCGGCCTGTCAGAGAAGAGGTGGAAAAAGAAAAGTACGCTGTTGACAAAGACCTGATGGAAAAGAAGAAAGAAACGTTGATCTTGCCGCAGAAATCTGAGGAGCCGAATTTCGATGTGAAAGATCTCAAGAAGGGTGAAAAAAAAGAGAAAGACCCACACAAAGATAAGCGTATTAAAGAAAAGGAGAAGGTGAAAGACAGAAGCAGCTCTTTCCCACAAATATCAAAGCATCCCAAAGATGACAGGCGGTGCTCACTAAGGGAAAATGACATTGGAGAGCGCAACAGCAAAGATCCGGGTAGCAAGCAGTGGTGTTCCAAAGACGTTCCAAAGCCACGGGAGTCCGACAAACCTGCAGACATTAAGGATAAGGAGGCTGCAGACAAGGACAGGAAACTGGTGTCTGCAAAGCCAAAACCTCGCGTGGAAGTTGGGGAGCCAGACGGTAAACTCACGAAAACCAAGGAGGTTACGGTGGCAGCACGGGATGCCAAACCAAAGGAGAAAGTTCTTGGTGCCAGTGACTTAATGATGACGAGCTTTGAGCTAATGCTGAGTCAGAAGGACATTGAGATGGAGGAGAGACACAAGAGGCACAAGGAAAAGAAGAGACTTAGGGAGCGGGAGAGGATGAGGCATCGCTCGGGAAGTGACGTTCGATCGAAGGAGCGGGAAAAGCCTCCTGGCGTCGCTGATGTGCGGAGCAAGGAGTTTCCCAAACTGCAGAAACCAGCCACGCCCGACATCCAGGTGAAAGAAAAGAGGTTACAGGACCTGAGCAACGCCACGCTCGTTCCACCCGAGAGCAAGCTGAGCTCACCGTTGCGAAGAGACATTAAGGATTGTGCTCTTCCTGGCGGCGCGGAAAACTCAATATTCGCATCTCCAAAACCTGAACTCGCGAGACCCATGTTTTCGCCAAGTACGTCGGTCACCACCATGGTGCCCATCCCAAACTTTGATGAGACGGCGGTGGTGGCGATAGCGGCCGCAAGCTCTCCTTACTCGATTGTGGCGGAAACATCATTTGACTCGATTGATTTTCCCCGAGCCCCATCATGTGCAAAATCTCCACCGCAAGAGAGTGTCCCTCCAGCGATGCCCGAGCAAGAAGCCACCTTATCGCCATGCATGAGTGAGAAAAGGGACATGGATCCGCTGACCTTCCAGCAGCCTGTACCTGAAGAGAGCTGCTGGACCATCCCTCCGCCTGAAATGACTGAGCACAAACCCCTCGAGCAGTTTCATGCCACTGAGCAATCTCTGCCGAGTGTCATCAACATCAGCAGCGGTGGCAACAATGACAGCTGCGAGGAGAGGCTCACCGTGCCTGCTGACGGGTGCTTAAGTCTGTCTCCGAGCTACACTGTCATCTCTGCGTGCTCTCCTCAGTACCAGACTGTGTCGCCAGCCGCGGAGCCCGACAATGAAGAACCGGAGGTGCTTGAGGATCTGCCGGAGAGCAAGAGTTCACCGTCTCCCTGTTTTGGTTACCAGTCTCCGCACACTGACAAAATCGAGGCTCTGCCAGACAGCAGGCAGCTACTGCCCTTGGAGAGCACTCTCCCGTTACCGCCGTACATCCCGGTGCCACCTCCAACAGAGACGGATTGCCTGCTTGAACACGAGACGGACGACTTGCGGACTGACTTGGAGACACCTCAATTGTCGCATTACGTACCAGTGGCCTCGGCTCCGGACGTGAGCGCATTCACTCCAGAGGCCATCCCCATGATGCATCAGAAGGCGGCCGAGGTTCTGTTGTCACCGAGATACCCTCCTGCCCCGTCAGACTGTGAACTGGTGGATGAGAGTGCGGCCATCTCAATGCAGCACACGCTTAGGCCGCCCAGCACTTGTTCCACTGCCCTTTCGGAAGCTGCCTCCTTCCAGTCGCCACAATACACAGCGACGTCACCCCATAAGGACACTACTGATACAGATATTATGTTGGACAGCAAGCTCTTGCAAGAGCCCAAGCCATTTGTACCGACATCGCCCTGCTATGAACTTGTCTCACCAAAGCAGGATTCCGTGCCGTTCATGCCGGAGCCACGGAGCATTCAGCACCCTGTGTTTGACCAGGCAATGACCAGTGAGGAGGCTGGCCGGGAAATGCCGGACAAACAGGAACCCCAGCCACCCATCACTGGATTTCAATCGCCGCCATACGTTTCACCTTCGAACAGGGGCCTCAAGGAGATCCATTCGCCAAGGGCTGACTTTCTGCCAGACGCCAGTGGGCGGTACGCGCTTCCACGCTACAATTTGCCATCGACGAATGACACGCGGAGCTTCCTGTCGGAGACGACGAGCTTCCTGTCAGAGAAGCGCAACTTCCTCTCGGAGACGACAGACATTCTGTCGGAGACTAGGAGCATGCTGAACACGGTCAACTTCCTGTCGCCGAGGCACAACTTCAATGGGGGAGGCCCAATGGAGAACCTGCCAGAGCTCCCGGGCACCACGATAAATCTAAGCCTCCCACAGATGTCTGTCGTTCAGGTGTGCACCAACGCTCAGCAGAGCCAGCTGCCACACACCGAGCTAAAGGCAGTTGTCAACTTTCTGGCGGACACTGTGGCGCCCCAGATGAATACGCCAATGCCCATGCAGCCACTGCCGGACCTTTTCAGCCCCTGCAAACAGTGGGAATCGCCAACTGATGCTACCCAGCTAAAGCTTACCACTCCTGTCAGCACCCCGGTCGGTGTCATGCCGCCCTTCCACAGTCAGATCCTTACGTCAGCCTCGCCTGGCCGGATAGCGGACAGCACAGTGACAATGCCAGTGAGCAACAGCCTGTTCAGCTACACGTTGCACGATGACATCGAGGCAAAGCTGAAATCGCCACAATGCTGCCACCTGCCGGATCCCCCTCCAAGGCCACCCCCCGATGCTCCTGAAGCGTCGGAGAACATTCTTTCGGTGTCGTTTTCATCTTCTTCTTCGTCCTCGTCGTCATCCTCATCCCCGTTCCGGTACTCGCGCTCCGTACTGGACTGCGAGCCCGAACCAACCGGGAGCGACCTGGACCGCATCCTCAGCAACATGCAGGGAGACCCTGCGTCGGCAGCACTCGGGCATCCCTCCAACGCCGACCAGCTGCTGGATGCGCTGGACTTCCCGTCTGTGCCGGAGCGACGGAGCGAGGCGGACGTGGAGCCGGAAACCGAAGCGGAGCTCGCCGTGACGCCGGCCGTGCCTCCCGCCGTGGCGCCCGCCATCATCCATGCCGTGGCCCCCACAATCATCCACGCTGTGGCCCCCGCAATCATCCACGCCGTGGCCCCAGCCTCGGACTGCAAGGAGGCAGCCAGCCTGGCGCTGCGTGTGCAGGAGCAAGAAGTGTTTGACAGCCTCCCGGCCGCCGCTGTGCCGAGACCATCGGAGCCACCACCCATTGCCGACGTGCCCGCTCCCTTCTTGGACTCTCTCAGTGCCGCGCCGGACCCCGACTCGCAGGACGATGAACTTCCGTCCACCGCCGCGTGCCTGGAGGCCATAGCGGAGCTCAACAAGGTGATCTGCGGGAGCAGCCTGATACCGGAGCCAGAGGAGGCCATGGACTTACACGACCAGGTCTCAGACTCCCAGGATGGTACAAGTGATGGGGATCAGGAAGAGAAGCCATCGGCGGTGTTGACTGTGCCGACAGGGGCCGCTTACCCGGCCGAGTCGTTGGCTCAGGGCTCGGAGAATGCATCTGATGCAGCACTGTCACCAGCACAGCCCGAGAGGGAGGCAGCGGTGGAGATGGACGCTCCCATTGCCGAAGATGTGAAGCCACCGCACGATGCCGATGAGGAAGTGGTACCGGACGGCGTTGAAGTGAAAGCGGTGGAGCCACAGGTTGTTGAAGGAGAAGTAGCCGACCAGACAGAGAGGACTGCACTAGAGGCAGCCACGCAGTCGCCGCCGCCGCCTGCTGTAGAGAAACCAAAACAGGAGCAGGCGCTCACACCAGCGAAATCGGACCGGACGGCCGACGAGTTGGTAGCCCCCAACGTGGCTCCGGCGGCCCCGACAACAACCCCTGCTCCCACCCCCGCGCCATCGTCGGTGGTGGCGCCACCATCAAGGGTGATGACGCGCAGTCGTGCAAGCATGGCGGCGGGAAAACATGCAGGCAGCAGCGCGCCTGCGGAGGGCACCGGAAAGACGGTGGCCACGCGCACCAAGTCCGGCGAGGACGAGAGAACGGCGGCGGGCGCGACGCACCACCCGTACAAGCGCAAGATGCCGGCGCAGCCTGCGCTTGCGCGTGGCGGGGCGCTCTCGCAGCAGGCGAGCGGGGGCTCGGCCTCCACCTCGGCGGCGCTGCACGCGTCCACCGCGCTGCGACAGAGCAAGGAGGCGGCGCACCAGTCGCTGGCAGCGCTCGTGGACTCGCTGAAGCTGGAGGAGATAAAGCCGTACCAGACGGCGCGCTCCAACCCGTACTTTGAGTTTGTGCAGATGCGCAAGCGCATCGAGGAGAGGCGGCGTCGCGTGATGTGCTCCGTCACGCCGCAGGCGCCGCAGTGCTACAGCGAGTACGTCACCTTCACTGGATCCTACATGCTGGATGGGAAACCCTCCAGCAAGCTGCACATCCCCACCGTAAGTGTCCTCAACCCCACAATAAATCTGCATTTAACAAAGCAAGATCGTTCTCAATCATTGTTTCCAAGGGAAAATATATATATAACGGGGTATGTATGTTGAACTTCTTTCGCACCATACGTACTTAGCAAACCACGCTAAATATCGCCAGTTTGGGTATTTAAAAGATGCCTGTGTTGTCACGAGATGTTTGGCTTCATAGTGGCTCATGACTTGCAAGTATTGTGGTCTATGCAAACATGACTCCTTGTAAAAAAGGTGTCAGTTTTGTTGCCAGATAAAAGGGTAAAAAGACCAATTGTCAGTGGCTCATGTCTTTATTTATATCTCTCCTCAGATAACTCCTCCACCGTCACTGTGCGAGCCAATGAAAGAGCTGTTCAGGCAGCAAGAGAGTCGGCGCGTGAAACTGCGGTTGCAGCACAGCATCGAGCGGGTAAGATAATAGCTTCATTTCATGTTTGTCCTGTGGTGAGTTTTAACATTTGAGCCAGCCGAGCCTAGCAGCAGGTTGTGTGCATGGTGACACTCACGTCCACAGTCCCCCGTTTCACGTTGTGAAACATTCCACGCCCATTATTTATTCCCGGTGTTTATTTGTTTTAATCATCTCTCTCCCTCCATGAGGGACGAAGGGTGGTGGGGGGGGTGACCCTTGCGCAAATGGCTGTAATTATTTGACTTACATTCGGGGCATTCATATGAAGAATGTTTGTTGATGCATTATAATGGAGATGGAATGTTAGGTCCCCAACTACAATGTCAAATTCCCACTCCCAACGAGCATCGGTTAGTGCTGATCTTATGTTTATAGCCGCGTACTAATATTCTAAACGTCACATTTCTAGGTTGGGAACAAGTGCATAGTGTAACTAATGTTAAGTTCCCAATAGACATGTGTAATGATCTATCCCCCTGTGATTTGATGAATTGTCACAATTTGGGGTCAAGATTTATAAACTGATCATTTTTATCCAGTGGAATGTATATTGACCAATCACATACAATATACACTAATCTATAGTTAGTGATTCCTATCTATATGTTTTTACCATTTTCAACTTAATTGATTAATCGATGCATCGCTACATACTTATTCGGTAGACATGCCTACATACCCTGTTGTTCCATAGTTTTCTACAACATCTATCCTCAAAGCATTGAGGATATTGATACAGTAAATTTAGCTGTGACGGTCCCACCTGAAGACGGAGACTTGTGTTGCCTACGAAACGTCGTGATTTATTATTTTATTTCTATTATTATTTGTATATCTTTTTACCTACGTGACTTTAATATCCTCAAAGCAGTTACAATTAGCAGAGGGATGACCTGCATGAGTTGTACAATTCACCCAACCTACCACTTGTTTTCTTGACAATTAACCATGCCTTTGTATTCCCTCTAATGCTGATCTCCCACAGGAGAAGCTGATTTTGTCTTGCGAACAAGAGATCTTGAGGGTACATTGCCGGGCGGCACGGACCATCGCCAACCAGACTGTGCCGTTCAGCGCATGCACCATGCTGCTTGACTCGGAGGTGTACAATATGCCCCATGTGCAACAGGTGACCACTGCCCCTCTACCCACAACACACATTGGACGATAATTTCCATAGCGGCTCGGTCATCGGCACCATGATCGGCTAATGCAGTTGAATATTGTCTCGTACGGCAGCCTCGTGTGTTGCTTGAGAGATGCAAGCAGATTTATTTAGTCCTTTTCTGCTGTCGGTCTACTTACGTTTGGGTGGTCCACCTGTTAGCTGCCTAGCGACGGTTAATGTTTGACTGTGGAAAACGTTTGGCAGTGTTTGTGTGAGCTGTTTGCACTAAACGTGTGAGACATGTATGAGATAGACATTTGAACGTGGTGTGAACAGCTGCCTTTTTAATTAGAACTAAAATATACGTAATTTGACCACGTCGAATAAGAATTATATAATGAAGTAAATATATCCAAGGCATGGGGAATTACATTTCACAACACGTATTGGTAGCATTCTAGCTCTCGCACTTTAAATAAATGAGTTGTGTCTCAAAATATCTGAAGTTTGTTTTGGTAACATGTTTGGGGGGGGTATTAAGAGTAGTAGTCATGCAATTGACATTGAACAATGCATGTTTGCAGATGTGCTGCTGTTAGCAAGGGTAACAAACTACAAAGTGAGTTAGTCCAATGCCTTTTGCCTGCTTGTGGAAGCTGTGTCACATTGATGTTTTTCACTTTTGAGCCTTCTGTTACAGTTCCGGATTTTGCTCTGGTCTTGATAGCTTGCTTTCTCTCCCTACTGTAAATGCCGCCGTCCATATGAGGTCTTCTTATTCTTAACGTTTGGCAAAGAATGACGTTCCTCTTTTGCAAGGGACTGGCCAATCGGGCATTCCTCTATGCCACTCATGAAATACTTGCAGCAGCAGATCAAACAGGAGTGCGCAAAACCTGCAGAGTCCCGCGCGCCCCATACGTGAAAAAGACGCCAAAGTTTTCGCCGCAATCCACTGTGTAGATGCTGCAATGGTCTTTCGGGTTTTGCCCGGCCACCCACCTTTGCCAGACGAGAGCTCTCTCACTCTTGGATTCAACCGCCGGATCACCTAACAAAGAGGACAAACGAGGGCACCAGGTGGTGACCATGAGAATTACCATTGCTTCATACATGGCTTACATGCAGAAATATATGCCTGACGCAGTGACATTTTTGAGACTGGCCGACCGTGAGAATCGATAATTCCACCAGGAAAATGTTGCAATTAATGCTGCTAGAGATGTTCTTTCCACTGCTGCGCAGGTTTCGTCAGCGGCAGTCGTCGGCAAAAAGACCATCTGGCCAAAGGGTTATATAAATCTTGATGACGAGTTCGAGGGCCGTACTCAGTGCCCGCCCCCTTGGACGGTCAAATCCTCTTACGCAAGGACCTGCCGGAGTGCCTTGAGAAGGTGGATGATGTCAAGATTTCCTGGTACGGCGGCGAGGCACCTTTTGTTCCTGTCTGTTAATGGCAGGCCGAATCATGGGACTGTCATCACTGACGATGCCGACGATTAACGCATAACCCCCCACTGTACCGGGGCCGCTGGTCGCCACCCCGCCGCTCGATTGCCTCCGTGCACAGCGCGAGGATGAGATTCTCTCCAACTGGCCGTGGTCACCTGATGTCCAAGCCCGGGTATCTCCATGTTGCAGTGACCGCAGCAGCACTCGGCCGCCCACGTTGTGCGGGCTCGCCGATGCGGCACTCGCAGCACGCGCCGCTCTCCAACACACGGCAAGGAGATCGTGGCTTGCGCAGCTGTCCGGCTCACGGCGCGCCACGGTGAAGCGCGAGGACATTGCCCGCGCACGCCGCTCGCATGTGGAAGACACACGCGCGCGCGCGGGTACGGTCCGCCGATCGCGGCGAGCACCACCGCAACCATTTGCGTCATCAGCCGTGATTGCTTCGCGCAAAGCGCAGCTTTCACCCCTCCCCCCTGGACGGGCCCCACGCAAACGGGGACACCCTTCAACAGCGTCGCCTCTGGATCTCCGCCGTCGAGTGTGTCCGTCTGCAATGACGTCCGCCTAAGAAGAGAACTTCGACGGCCCTGGAGAAGAAGGGTTCTGGATGCCGTTTGATCGACGCAAGTTGCATGAGCTCGCGTAGTGGGCCGTGCAAAATGAGCTGCGCCGCATGAATAAACCGTTCAGATGAAGGCACTGCCTGCGAGACTCCTCGGCAGACGAAGACTCCCAAGATTCTTCCCAGGAGAAGCGAGTCGGTCATTGGGAACTCGCCCGGGGGCAACCTGCGCTTACTCAGGAGGAGGACTTGTCACAGGCTCAAATTCCCTGAGCAGGATCTTCAGGACATTTTATAAAAGAATAAAAATGTTTACAGACTTGCGCTGTAAGCAAGGTAACAAACTAAAACGTGTGTGGCTCCCGTGCCATGTACCTGCATCGTGGAAGCTGATTCACATTGCTGTTTAGATTTTTGAGCCTTCTGTACCAGTTCTTTTTATACCGCTGCGGATTGTGCTCTCGTATTGATTGCGTGCTTTCACTTTGTTCCATATCTGTGTAGACTGATGAGAAAACGTCAGTGAGGGACCGTTTCAATGCCAGGCAATTCATCTCCTGGCTACAAGATGTGGATGACAAGTACGACAAGATGAAAGTAAGCCGCACACAAGTTTAAGTTTCGTGTTTTTGCAGACACGTGACAGTTGTACAAATTGACCTGGGAACTTCAGTGCCTCCATTCCACCAATATCTCCACATGGATATTCCTGACGTCTGACTTTTCCTTGCGCCATCTGGCACCCAGGAACCTGGTATTAACAATTGTTTTAAAACTCTCAGGAAATCCTTCCATTTATTTAATATATCCTGTTCACATCAGCACTCAGGTTGGACTGTTATGCCATTCACTGCTGTTTGTTAAGTCCTTAAGGAAATAATAAGGTTAATCTCTGCAGCATTCTTATTTTGGCATTGTATTCAGGCTGCTATATGCATGTCAGCTGATAGGTGGCATTGTTAGGAAGAGATGCAGCTCGGAGGTTGCTTATACAGGTATCCCTCGATTTATGAAAGGGTTGCGTTCTTCATAAAAGTCGCGTAAAACGAAATTTCGTCTTTTCCCATTAATTGAATATAAAAAATTGTGGATGTGTTTCGGATAGTCATTCCATAACATAAAAAAATATACACCAATATCACTTTTTGCAATACAAAAATAATAATAATAATAATAGAGAACATGAATATAAAACGCTTCAATAATAATTAGTAAAAAATATTTTTTTCATTTTTTTTTCATTTTACGAAACCTGGCAAAAGATCTAAATGTTGGAACGACTGGAAGGCTTTACCGTTGTACTGTAGGGAGATGCCGTGATGCTGTCGCGGATGGATGATGCAGCCTCCCGGGTGTTTCTTGTTTGGTCTCATGGTGCATGAATGCCATGTCATATTTCGTGAACACGGAAATTCTATTCCATAATTTGTCAATTGCGTTCACGAGAAATTACGTAAACCAAACATTCGTAAATCGAGCTATGCCGGTCTATCAACGTGTCATTTTGGTTTACTTCATACTGTCCTCGGTTTGTGACCAGCCATCCTGAAGCAGGAACTGTAATGCAATCATTGTCCACAGCCATGCAATGTGTTTTTTTATGGGCACAACCTTGTATTACTCAAGCACTGGTTCACGATTAACAATTTTCATCGACCCTGGCTTCCAAGTTTACTTCATGGAGAAGCGAGTGCTGACTAAATGCCATTTGTGTATGCCCTTTGATCCTGCATACTGGTTACAGGTGTGTGCAGTGTGAGCTTGTCCAGCTGTAAGGCAAAGCAGCAGTTCATATTTATTTGTTAGAACGTTTTCCTCATCCTGTAGTTGTAGGCCAGAAACAATGTTAAGAGACATTGATGTTTAGCTGTAAAGTGATGTTAATTTAAGTCGTTTTTAGTTATATATTTTAAAACTTGGTACACGTGAGCAACAAAGCAATACAGAAAGATGTTCTCCAGGACTTCTCACAGGGCTGTCTTTGAAGTGGTCTTGAATTATGCAAATCCTGCCCTAAATTAATGTCGGAAATCGGGCTTCAAATGTACATAGTTCTATCTTACATAAATATTAACTTTTGCTTCATGACTCGGTTCTTACGTACAGGTTTAGTTGATGGGCATACATTTGTGTTAATGTTTCATTTCGGCAATAAGTGGGTTAGTGGATGATTAAACAGCTTTTATGCTCCTTATAACATAGTCTGTTTTTTATTGCTCTCATTGTGCATTTGTGTATGTTATCCCGAGTGTGTCAAATGACCTTGGTGATGACAGACGTGGCCCGTGCACCCTGCTAATGAGTGCCCTGCCACCATAGCCTGCTGAATAGCTCCTCAAACAACCAATTATGAATAACTTGCAGATTGTTATACCTGCCCCAGTCATAAATGTTAGTCTGATATGAAAGAGGTAGACAGACTTCCCTTAGAATTGTGTTTCTGACTTCTAAAATTACATTTTTTTTCATCTGACACATTGCTCGTATCTCCATATATATAAAAGGCAAAGTTGTGATTATGTGTGTCTGTTCAAAATGTTTAGCGTTCTTCCCGACTTCCAGACCATGCATGCAATTGGAATCTGAACATAGTCTGCTTCTCTTTTAGATCAACTTGTCGTGAAGGTCCATGGGGTAGGCGAATCCCTGGCAACTCCAATTAGCACGGTTGACTACGTAGTGTGCGAAAGAAGTTAAACATACGTTCAGTGTTGTGGGCAATACCAACACTGGAGAGATAAATGTGTGTGTGTGTTTCTGACATCATAAATATCTTGGCCAGCCTTAAAGAAAATTAACCAAGAAATAACTGTGTACCCTGTGCTGTCTAACAAAAGATGGAAACTGGAAAATAATGTTCTTTGAGGTGCAACACTCAGAAATTAAATTGCATCTGCCATGCGGTGATATTGCTAGAGTATTTCCATGAAATACTTGACCATGATTTCAAAGCCATTTTCTTACTAGCCAAGCTTTTAAAATCGTGTGACACATGAATCACATCCTAGCTCGTCACGAGTTGAGATATTTGTATTTGTGGAGTGAATATTCGTTCTTTCAGTACTTAACTTGCTAACTTTACTTGCCGGCACTTTTTAAAAGCCTAATACTCTGATGCATTATCTTTGAGTTGTGCGCCTTTTGGCGTCATCTGCTCCAACACCATGTATGTGAGACTAGGCTCTAAGGAAAGCTGTCTCGGGTGTGGACCAATCGACTTCAAGGACAGTGCATACATTATCAGAGTTATGTTTTTTGTTTGCATTATGACTGCAGGTATTGTGGTCAATGCAAACATGACTCCTTGTAAAAAAGGTGTCAATTTTCTTGCCAGATAAAAGGGTAAAAAACCAATTATCAGCCTAATAAATGTTGGGTGTTTGTGTTATTTTTTTGTGTGCGTGCCCTGTCCTCCTTCCCCCTCCCGCCCTCTGCGCCCCTTCCATCCCTCGAGCAGACGAGCCTGCTGATGCGGCAGCAGCACGAGGCGGCGGCGCTGAATGCCGTGCAGCGCATGGAGTGGCAGCAGAAACAGGAGGAGCTGGAGCCCACGGCGGCCATCAAGGCACACGGCGGCTTCGAGGTGCCACCCTTCTACGTGCCCATGGTGGACGTGGATGACGACTTCGACCTCCTCCCCGCCTGAGAGACGCCGCCGCCGCCCCCACCCCCCACATCGGCCAAGCGAGCGCTCGTCGTTAGATTTAACGCAAACGGGAACGGCAATGGGGATTAGTAAATAACCCAGGAGAGACAGCGACACCGCACGGTTTCACGTGCCACTGCGTTGATTATATGGCTTCTGTTGCGGACTGCTGCAGGCGGTGCAAAGGTTGTTGGTAATTGCTAAGCTAGGGCAATTGTGGGTTTACAAATGAGGAACGAAATGGCTATCGCCCGCTGCCCCCAGGGGCTTTTGTTTCGTTGTGGTGTACCACGTGGGTTGGGAATGAAAGGTTGTGCAGAAAAGTGTTGCCTTGATGACTGGGAAGTAGAAATTGGTCATTTTCCCCACTTGAATTATGAGCACGTAATGTGTTTTGCAGTGGCAGTTGAAAAACAAATGAGTTCAACAATTGTCAGGCGTCCAAATGCACTTAGGGTCACATCGGGGGGTGGGGACAGCCCATGGATGGGGTCAGCATCTGAGAAGGGAAAGTTCAAAGGAGAGAGTGACTTGATCCATTTAAATGAGCCCGTGGGGCAATGGAGGAGATTGAGATTTTGGAGTCAGGACACGATTCATGGTGTTACGAGAGGTGAAAAATTGTGTGTATCACCTAAATTATACGTTTTCAATAAACGTGTGTGTGCGTGTGTGTGCACGTGTGTGTGTGCACGTGTGTGCCGTCTTGTGTGTCTGTGTGACCACAGTGTTTATCACATTTTCTCTGGAATCTGGAGATGAGGGTTTTCACTTTTGGGTTTATTATGTGTGTTTGAGTTTTGTGTGATAGATCCTGTTGGTTTTCCTTCTAGCTTTACGACATAACAGCTTCATCCCGAACAATACATCCCTGTCCCAGAGTTCAGGATGAGGGATATCTGAGAGAATTTTCCCCATGTGAATCTTGTTTTTTTTTTAGTCTGAAAAAATTGTCCAGGTTTTTTGTTTAGTTTTTAACATTTGAGGGTGAACTGTACACAGCTTTTTAACATCTTCCCCTAAGGGGGGCATACGCATGACATATTGCCCATCCAAAGTGTGAGAAGTGAGATGAAATCAACTTCTCCGTCACTGCCAATGGTGTAAGGGATATAGGTATTAACAAATCTTCCAGCATGGATTGATTTTACAGAACCATTTCCACATTTATATATATGAACATATATTGGACTTCTACAACTGTAAATCTTGTAACCTAATGTAAAGGAAAAAAATATATATACGCCGCTTTTAAGGGTTTTTTTAATACATACCAATTCACCATCGCGAATGTAAATAGTGACTCGCGATCCGTGTTGCGTTGAGATGAATGCAGTCGGTGTAAATGACAACGGCAGGCGGAGAAAAAAAGGATGTTGGCAAGAGGGTGTTGCCCCCCACCCCCCACCACCGTTATGTACAGTTTTGTAGTGCTGACGCACACACACACACACGCGCGCGCACCACATTTAGGGACCAAAGCGTTCGTGCCATTTCTGCGGATGGTTGTGTTCTCGATTAGAAAAGTATCATGCTCCTTTATTATATAAATACAGTATATAGATATATTATATATTATAAATAAGCAAGAAAATAAAAAAATGAGCATTGAGGAAGAGTGGGTTTCTGGGGGGCTGTGCCCTTTTCTCAGAATATAGAATTAATCAAAATTCCTATCCTATCGCTTGCTTACAGCCTGCTGAATTGTGTCCTCTATTGTCCAGGGAAGGGGGAGGAGGTCCCTTTGAAAATGCCCTTGCTATGTTTAAAAAAAAAAAACTTTGTTTACATGAATCGCCCTTTAATACTGTACATGTCCCAGCTGGTGTGAGTGAAACTTACATTTTGTTCGTGTTTGTGTGTGTGTTTTATTTCTGGTGCGTGAAAACAAAACGGATTAAAAAAAATGTACAAAAAAAACCGGACGTAACATTGGGCGGTGTTGCCCATTCATATGTACCTTTGAGCTTAATTGTGACACTTCAAATTAAGTGTGAGGGGGCAGCAACGGTCTCAAAAATGACCCTGTGTGTACAAAACGCATGTCCCTGTATGGGCCGTATGTGTGTATATACGATCTAATTATTTTAGATTTTTTTTTTTTGGTCAGGGTAAAGGCGATCGTGGGTGAAATATAGGGAACCGGAAAGGGCGCAGGGTGTCACGTGGGGGGGTAAGGGAGGGGCAAGGTTTAAATAATTGCATAGTATTCAGTTTGTTTCTTCTGTTTGTACAATTTCAACTCTGAAAAGTGTAAATGTTTATTTTAGTATGTATACAGTATACCTTATGAATACGTGTACATAGTTGTATATATAACACAGGTTTTACAGTTGCCTCTTGTGTTGGAAACTCACATTTTTGTATTATCACCACTCGCCCCCTGTAACACTGTACGTATTCTGTTCAAAGTGTAGTATTTGGTGTACATACTGAACTCACAGGTAATGTTTAACAGTGAGGATGTAATTAGGATGTAATCAGTTCTTGCAAGACAATAATTTCTATATTTTGCATGTACAGATGCGGATATCAGTGTCAGAGTATATGTTGGTAAATAAATGCACCCTAAAATATCTGAAGTGTGTATGTCCAATTTTCAAAATGTCAGCAGCTAATATATAGTTTATATTAAATTGGCTTATAAACTATATTATTGCACATCATTCGGCTGTTTCATCAAACATGTCAGATTATATGAATGCTTTGATATCTGACTTCACAACTAAATTGCATCGTGTTCAGTTTGAAATCGTGTTTCTCATTACCTGCTTACCACAAGCTTGTTGCTTCCACCTTTCATGTTGTTGTTGATAATGATGTGATTTATGAATCCGCTAAGGTTACAGACCTAGAACGTCTAAAGCACAAGCTTTCAACTTGCGCTTTATACGAAACGAGGACCGCTCTGTTCATCTTTGATTCTCTATCTTGGTGGGGACTACCTTCCGACATCAATATGGAGAGACATGCATTGGCCGAATGTCTTCACAGCACTTGCGAAGAAATTTCCACGAAGTATGATTCCATATTTAAATCTTCACAAATTTAAAGATCCAATAAATTCTTAGGTGCCAAGCAAGAGTTTAAAATTTGTCATTTGCTCATAAAGCTCCTCCGATTAAACAATATCACGTCTGTTTAAATTCTCGGTTTGTAAAGGGCAAATACTTATTGCTTGGAAATTATGAATGCAAGTGCTTTTGATCATCAACTCCTACCTCACTGTAATTCATATTTTCTTTTTGCCGATATTTTAAATTCACTTAAGACGTACACTGTTTAATTGTCTTGTCGCTTCATGTTATGTTCATTTTTTTCTGTTTGGCAAATTTTCATCTGTATGGCATTTGTTATTTTATCACAAGTGCTCTATTGTGCTGTATCCGCGTTTATATTTTGCCATCAAGACAGGTCATCCTTGAAAAAAAAGTCTCATTGTGCACTTGCCTCATAAAGATTTTACATATATCGCGACACGTTGAGTGCATTCTTTAATGTGTAAATGACCTTCATTTTTGACCCATTGATATCAGGAGCACTTTTTAGGTGAAGGATGATTTTTATATACGGTAAGACAGGAGCCAAACCCGAGATGGCAGGCCTAGTTATTTGATGCAAGGGTCGTGTGATTCATTGAGGCTTGAAGCAACACTTGCGCTCCTTGTATACTACCTGGAAAACGAATTTACTTTACAACCTTAAGCACATGTTCGAAGAGAAATAAAATATGAGTATTCACATTTGCATTGATATGACTCAACATCGCTATTGACTACGAGAACGACCTGCTTTCTCGAGAACATTGTTTACACAGATGGCTCGCATTGTTGACAATGGTTCCTCATCTTTTGGCTCTGGGTTTGGAAACATTTGTTTGTATAAAGATAGTTCGAACCACTTCTTGGACAAATGCATACACTTATAAGTATAATTCTTGCTTCAAAAACCCATGAACCACACACATCCTTCTGTAAAATAAATGCTGCCTTTTAACACTTTAACTGGTTGGAGCTTGTTTGCAATTTAGACACTCGCAGACGGGATTGTTGAGTGCCACTGAGACCTTGTGTTTGAGAAACCCATCAGGGGGGCCGTTCGTGCCTCTTGATTAGCGCAGTTGGCTACGTACGGTGCGAAAGAAGCTCAACATACTGCACAAACACGTGAAGTTCCTGCAGGTGGCAGTACAACAGGTACGTTTCTAATCCATAATCTCGGCCTGCTTGTCATCCAAGTCCTAAATCCGTCATGTGGCGACACAGCGGGAAACCGAATGCTTTTTACGCATCGCAATCCTGCACCATCGGTGGGAAGTCGACCCATGTAACCCCAGCAGATGTGTCCCTATTTAGTCTACCTTGACAAAGATTACCTGCATATCCAGGTAAGAAGTATTTATGCAAGAAAATGACATTTCAGAAAACACCGTTTGAAAACCAATTCTAACGGTGCATTTGAACATTAAATTTTTAACATCTTAAGGTGTTTTGCTTTCTTTGATCAAACTTGGTATTTTTGTCGATTAGAGTTATGGCGTGGGCATCGCTAATGTTTGTAGTTTGTCCACTGCCTATGAACACAGTGATCTCAAGCCAGCGCCTGGATAACATCCGAGGCGAGTGATCTAAACTGGTTGTGAACCATTTCGATTTAAAGCTTTCGTGACTGCAGGTATTCATCTTCTTGGTTCTTTCGGTAAAGTCACGTAGAATGGAAATAATAAAAATAAAATAATTCTCACGACGTTTCGGCCACAACGCAAGCAGCCGTCCTCAAGTGAAGACCAGATCTGTCAGACGCTGTCTCCGACAGACCTGGTCTTCACCTGAGGACGGCTGCTTGCGTTGTGGCCGAAACGTCGTGAGAATGATTTTATTATGTTTTATTTTTATTATTTTATTATTTCCATTCTACGTGACTTTACCGAAAGAACCAAGAAGATGGTTGTGAACCAGTTCATAACCCGTCCTGCCGAGTGCTAAAAGGTCCATCATCAAATCGCAACACCCCCACGACCGACGGACGCGGCGTTCCTCCAAATGTGGACAGAACTCATCGCTGCTCCCTCTAGCGGCAAACTGCGACGGAAACTTCCGATCACGGATCGAACCCTTGTACTATGTGCTTTGCAAACGAATGATTTGATTGTGCGCCAGAATTTTGTTGGAACAATTTTTTTCATTGGCAAAAACAGCTGTCACTCACTGCCAGTCGCCATACTAAATTGCAGGCAGTGGTTGCGCTTGTAAACGTGTTTCCGTTAACGATTGCAGCAATGATTACCTACAATTAATTATTACCTAAAGTCGATCGAGACATCTTAATCTCGGGACTTTTTTTGACTTATAAACCTTTGACGTGAACAAAAAAAATTGCAACATTTCATTATTTACATGCTGCGTAAAAAAGATGGGTGTGCAAGGATGTATCAATTTCAAATACTTTATTAACATCTATTCGAAAGGTCCTGGTGCAAGCAATGAGTAACATCTATAATTTCGAGTTTAATTTTTTTACAATTTGTAAGAGTCAGCTGGGTCACAAAAATGGCAAAAGAAAATAAAGTACGGCAATTAAGCAAATAAAAATCCTCAAAAACAACTGTCACGTGAGAAAATGAAAATACTGCACAAAACACAAGTCAATGTTAATTAATAGACCATCCGTAATGTAAGTCGGCTTGAGCAGGCTATTTTTAGACTGATAATGTTACAATTACAACTAGATTACAGACACGTTAAACAGATATAGGGTAACTTTTACTAACATGTATACAGACAAGGATATAGTGAAATGCACTTGCAATTAATAAAAAAAAACAATGACAGCATCAATTTGTGTTGTATACCGTAGAGTAACCAAGAAGATTGGTGAAGCGATAGAATTCAAGGGTTTAGGGCGCATGAGCAGAACATGAGTGAGAACTCTACGATAGATCAGTAATAATGTTATAGATTCTGCAAAAGCGGGTTTTAAATTGTATTTATTTTCGTGATATGCGTGACAGTTCCATAAAGTGGAATAATGTGACGTTTTGAGTAATGACCCTTCTTCATAGCAGAGGCAGAGAGGAATTGAGTGAATGATAGATGGAGACTGCACCCATGATAGATATAAGCGTATCGATTAATTGGCTTAAACTGACATTAAGTGAGCCGTATGCAGTCTAATTTACAGCACTTTGTCAATCCATTGCCGATGCAAGACCTCCCCATGCAGTCAGTCGTGGGAACGCCATGAGAATCGTGGGTGGGTGGTCGTTTTTTTAATCTCTAGCTATGAAAACCAAACACCCGACTCATAGCCGTCAACCCCATACGGTTTACCCCGTATTCTTGTCCAGGGAAATTGAGTTTTCAGGTCCATACGGCGTACACCCGCTTCAATACGGGCAGCAACATGTTTTTGCCCATTAGCGTTTCTCCCTTGTGATGGGACTTTGTGGTATGAACGTTGAGATGTATAAGGGCACGGGGTGACCAATACGACTTGAATTGGTGTGTAATAATAAGGTGAAGAAGGGCAGTGCACGCGACTTGATTCGCGTCGCAGCCAAGAAACACACAAAACGCGTTCTATCAATCACTCCGTTGGGATGACACTGCCAACGCAACTCCGCGAGGTCTCCATCACCGCATGGGCGCCGTTCCCAATCGGTCTGCCGCCACCACATTTGCTACCCCCCTACGCCGGTCTTGCGTTTGTAACGCGTGGATTAAAGCTTATGCGGTTGTTACTGTACCGGTGTGGCAGGCCGATTTTGTGAAATCCAGTTAGGGGCAGTCGGGCCACGTGAAGTAAGTCACAAGACTCGATCACGTGCGGCGACTCGCATGGGTCAAACACGAGCACGCCCATCCCTGACTCGCTCCCTGCATGCTTCCTGTGTACATGGTAACGCAGAGATGATGATGAAGATTATGATGATTATCTGTTGTGTTGTTATCATCATCAGCAGCAGCAGCAGTAGCCGTGGTCAATCCACTGCTGAATGAAGGCCACCCCTCAATCGGCTGCCATACTTCGTGATAATCCGAATAAGCACCTGCACAGTTTATTTCATCGTTCCATCTCCTAGATTTTGACGTGACACAACTCAAAGCTCCATTCCGACATTTACTGCTTTAAGTTTGAAGATTAGGCAAAGCGTCATTGTGCGCAGCTTGTAACAGGCTGTACAGGTTATGTAATAACACAGAATGGAAAAGTGCACGCAAAAGCATACACCCCCACGCGTGTTTATGTATTGGCAACGATGGTATGCAACGCATCTTCTGTAACGAGACGCGCGTGGTTTCCGTCAGGAATCACAATAACCCAATTGTGTTGCTCAACGTGCAGCAACAAATGTTTATAACCCGCGGCGTTTTAACTTTTCAGTTGCACATTTGTGACTGCAACAGTAGCCGTGGTAGGACACCTGTGCAATGGTGGGATTTTACTGGTAGGAACCTCCTGGTTACACCAGCCCACAGGGGATTATTGTGTCCGTCCGTCCGTCGTGAAGGGAGGGGCTGGGTGGGGAGGGTGGGGCTGGGTGGGGAGGGGCTGGGTGGGGAGGGTGGAGAGGGTGGGGAGGGGCTGGGTGGGGAGGGGCTGGGTGGGGAGATTGGGGCTGGGAGGGGTGGGGCTGGGTGGGGAGGGAGGGGAGGGTGGGGAGGGGCTGGGTGGGGAGATTGGGGCTGGGAGGGGTGGGGCTGGGTGGGGAGGGAGGGGCTGGGTGGGGAGGGGAGGGTGGGGAGGGGCTGGGTGGGGAGGGGCTGGTCACCCCGTGGTGCCCTTATAAAACTCAACGTTGAACCTACTCACGCCGGCTTGTGCCCGCCCTCACAGTCGGGCATATTTGCGGAATACACCACGCCGCCGTTGACCCTGCAGGCCATTGATCGAGCAACCCAACGTTCCTACCAGCTCCCCCCGCAGGAATGTGTTATACTCACGACTTGCCGTGCTGTGTAGTGCACTCTCATACAAGAGTATGTCCTGTATGCAGAACTTCTTTCGCACCGTACGCGGCCAACTGTGCTAATCGGATGTGCTGGGGAAGGACAGCAAACTGAAGACAAAAAGCAGTACGTGCGCACGTCCAGAAGGGTGATTCTGTACGTGTGTGTGTGTGTGCTACCGTTAAAGCCAGGGCACTGTGTACATAAGCACACATACAGTAGCCTGTATAAACACAAGCACGCACACGCGAGATTTAATTCCGTCTCCCTATAGACTCGGGCGGGAGCCACCACCACCACCACCAACCCCACACAGTGAGCGGACGTGGAAACCGCAGAGCCCCGATACAGCATTTGGGCGTTGGGCTCATTTCCTTATCCCCCCCCCCCCCCCCCCCCCCGGGTTGAGTTGTGTGTGTGTGTTGAGTTGTGTGTGTTGAGTGTGTGTTGAGTTGTGTGTGTGTTGTGTGTGTGTTGTGTGTGTTGTGTGTGTTGTGTGTTGAGTTGTGTGTGTGTTGTGTGTGTGTGTTGTGTGTGTGTGTGTGGTGAGTTGTGTGGTGTGTGTGTGTTGTGTGTGTGTTGTGTGTGTGTGGTGAGTTGTGTGTGTGTTGTGTGTGAGTTGTGTGTGTGAAAGTTGTGTGTGTGTGAGTTGTGTGTGTTGTGTGTGTGTTGAGTTGCGTGTGTATTGAGTTGTGTGTGTGTGAGTTGTGTGTTGTGTGTGAGTTGAGTTGTGTATGTTGAGTTGTGTGTGTGTTGTGTGTGTGTTGTGTGAGTTGTGTGTGTGGTGTGTGTGAGTTGTGTGTGTGTTGTGTGTATGCGAGTTGTGTGTGTGTTGTGTGAGTTCTGTGTGTGGTGTGTGAGTTGTGTGTGTGGTGTGTTGTGTTGAGTTGTGTTTGTTGCGTGTGAGTTGTGTGTTGTGTTGTGTGTGAGTTGTGTGTGAGTTGTGTGTTGTGCTGTGTGTGTGTGTTGTATGTGTGTTGTGTGTGTTGTGTGAGTTGTGCGTTGAGTTGTGTGCGTTGTTGTGTGTTGTGTGTGTGTTGTGTGTGTGTTGTGTGTGAGTTGTGTGTTGAGTTGTGTGTGAGTTGTGTGTGTTGTGTGTGAGTTGTGTGTTGTGTGTGAGTTGTGTGTGTGTTGAGTGTTGCCTTGGCTTGCCGCTGCGACCACCTTACTCTCCCCCACGAGTGAGTGGAGCTGAGCCCTGCATCGTGTTCCAAAGTTCGATCACTCCGGTTCGATTTAGCAGCCACCAATCGCAGCTTGTACGTGACTCAGACACCCTCCCCCTACTTAGCCAAGCCCATCACCACCACCACCACTCCCTCCTTCCTCATCTCTTAACTCCCCTCCCCACCACCACCACCGCGTTACTTCTGTGTACTGCCACCACCCCCACCACCACCTCGCTGTCCTCACTCACCGGGCGAGGAGATACAGGACAACTCTGTCCCCGTTTGCTCTTTTGCTGCAGCGGCAGCACACGCAGGGAGGCAAGGCGCGGGCGCTTCCTCCTCCTCCTCTTCTTCATCACTCGTATCAGCTGTCGATGGTCGTGACGGCGGCGGCGGTGGTGGTGCTGTGTGCGTATGTGGGGTACGTTCAACTCGCGTCGCATGCGCCACGGATATATATACTCGACAAAACACGGTGTAACGCGTCGGCACGGGCGTATCGACACACACAGGTGAAGGGATGCTTCACACACGCGTCGTTACGTAGAAGACACGGCGATGTGCTGTTCTGTACTCGCGCGCAATGAGATGCGCGTTCCTACAGACGCACGCACGCGCATCGAGATACGTGCACCGCTAGAGGCGACGACGTTTCGATCACATCGCTTGCGTTGTGATCGATTTTATTTACTTTTTGCTATTTCTATCTACGTGACTTTATCGAAATGACCAAATAATACGCAATTCCTGCAGTTTTATTTTATTTATTTTACCTACGTGACTTTACCGAAAAAACCTAAGAATAATAATTCCTGCAGTCACGAAAGTTTTAAGTCAAAATCTATACCGATACACTCGCGGTGCAGACGGACATACAAAACCCCGCATACATACACACACAGACACACTCATGTAATACACACAAGGCAAAGATCCCCCGTGTAGCCTTGAACAGATTGTTGGGGCAAGTGCTGTTAGCGAGCACCTATTAAGGCAAACCAGCACGGCACACGAGGAGGTGGGTGGCCAACACCACGCCCGGCCGCCTTTGTCTCCCAAGCGGGGATGTTTACACACAGCAACCGGGTACAGTAATCGTTTGAGACCTGGTCGACAAAAATACAAACACGTACAGATATGAACAAAGATCCCCCGTATAGCCTTAACAGACTGTAGGGGCAAGTGCTGTTAGCGAGCACCTATGAAGGCCGGAACGGTACACGAGGGGGTGGGTGGCCAGCACCACGCCCGACCGCCTTTGTCTCCCCAGTGGCGATGTTTACACACCGCACCAGGTACTCATTTAAGGCTGAGTCGACCTAGGGGAGGCCCAGGACCGGTTCAGATAATCGTCACTGGTGTTAGCCGTGAGCGGGAATCGAACCCGGGTCGCCAGGTTCATAGCGCAGCGCGCTAACCGCTACACTACCGCTCCCCACACAGATATGAACACACACAGATACACACACACAGATACACACACACAGATACACACACACAGATACACACACACATAACATAGACATTAACACGTACACATACAGAGATGGACACTCGCTGACAGAGATGCACAGATGCTACAGGTCGACACGGACGTAGACACGGGGTGACGACAGAGACAGCGTGTCTCTGTCGGGGCGCAAGTCCGTGGGCTCTATTTTATAAACGCTGCGGTATCACCTGTACGAGGTTCAACGTGGAATTGGGAAGACAATCCCCTGGCCCCACCGTGCCCCAACCTCCAGCGCCGCTCGTGCTGCGGCGTGACCAAGATAACCCCCGCGCCGCAGACGCGCGCCAAGAAGACCTCCTCCTCGTCCCCCTCGTCCTCCTCGACCTCCTCCTCCTCGACCTCTTCCTCGACCTCCTCCTCCTCGACCTCCTCCTCCTCGACCTCGACCTCTTCCTAGACCTCCTCCTCGTCCTCCTCGACCTCATCCTCCTCCTTCTCCTCGACCTCCTCCTCGTCCTCGACCTCCTCCTCGACCTCCTCCTCGACCTCCTCCTCGACCTCCTCCTCGTCCTCCTCTTCCTCGACCTCCTCCTCCTCCTTCTCGACCTCCTCGACCTCCTCCTCCTCGACCTCCTCCTCGACCTCCTCGTCCTCCTCGTCCTCCTCGACCTCATCCTCCTCGTCCTCCTCGACCTCCTCCTCCTCGTCCTCCTCTTCCTCGACCTCCTCGACCTCCTCCTCGACCTCCTCGTCGTCGTTACATCACGGCGCGTGCTCCAGAACGATCGCTGGTGTCGCGATGTGCACGCGGACACAAATCGTGTGGACGATGTCTCTCGCATCGGATGCGCTTTTAAAGGCGGCCGCAGCGCTAAGGTCAAGTTGGATGCCGTCACAGAAGTGTATTTCGCACTCGCGACCCCAGAGACCGTCCAGGTTCGAATCCATCTTCAGTGGCACGGGAGTTGTTTGTTGGCCACCCACCCTCCCTCCCATCCGCCGCCACAGCTCCTTCGATGAGCACGGTTGGCAGCGTACGGTGCGAAAGAAGTTCAACACACACTGCACCGTAAGAAGAACGTTTCCGAAAGATCGCCTTGGTTGCAGCACGCGCAATATCGGCAGGTCTGACGTGGTGGACTGACGTGTGGGCACGTACCGTACTCAAGTCTCTCTTCCAGACGTCTGGCAACCGCGAGATACCGCCACGGTGGCTAGGAGACGTTAACTACCTCGCCTGCTATACAGGAGGTTGTGGGCTTCGATCTCGACCCTGACACCTGCTGCTGTAGATTTGGAGTTGGCGTCCCTTCTCTCTCTCTCTCTCCCCGTGGTCGCGTGGATTTTTCTCGGGGTCCTCCGGGTTTTCTCCCCTCCGCATTTCTACATTTCCACACGATAAGCCAACTTAGTTGAGCAATCGTTTGTGGCCAGGTCGCTTCTGAAAAAGAGCGAAACGGGGTATAACTCGGTGGGCCTTAACCGGTCAAATAAAAAACAATGTTTAGTAAATGGTTTTAGAGTAAGCCACAAATACCCCCGGATAAGGGCATCTCTAGCGGAGGCGGCCATCAGTGGAGTGAGCACGTCATTTCAGGGTTGCACCGTTACGTTTTTTTTTTAATACAGAACTGTTATGACATTTACAATGGAACGCCTGCCTCCTTAAGATGTCTCGAGACATCTTAAGCAGCGAGGGGTCATGCTTTAGGGATTTGTGCGCGCCATATCGATGTCACGCAGAGTTTGGGTGGCTTCGTTTTTGTCAGGAACCTGGAGTAACCCCGTAGAAGAATCCGGCACGATTGAGAGGTTACGACACTCACTTTTGAGACCTGGTTCGCAATCTGCTTGTTGCTACGGTGCTGCGTCATCTACCGTAAACTATAATGCTACTTATATTGTGTGGGTAATTGTGTTGGTCGGGGCTTCTGGGCTGTTGGAAAAGAACCTTATTGGAGCGTGCAGAGGTACACGATTGTGTAACTATTGGGACCTCGGGTTTATGTAATCACGCGAAAGTTATCATAAAGGCAACACAATTATACCACCGTAAAAGCAAGCGCCCCCAACCTCTTCGAATCTCGAAAGCTCAGCGGGGATTTGTGCCTGGCCAGTTACTCTGCTTGTGTGGGTGACCACCAAGCAGGGCTTGCCAGATGTTATCGGCTGTGGGGCTGACAGATGTGACCGGGAGATGGCGGTGCTGCGTGTCGCATTCCCCTCGTACACAGCGTGGATGCTGGGTTTTCTCCGGGTGTGCAGGATTAATGCTGCACGAAGCCAAACACGTACGCATGGAATTGGCCAAACAATCGTATCGCACGAGCCTGAGTTCATTATTGGGACTCAAGTGAGACTGACCTGGGGGAAATAATTACGGGCATTCGTAGTCTTACTCCAGGCTACACGTTCACGTGAGATGGCAAGTCCAGGCGTGATAATATTCCGTCATGTTCTAAATACAGGAGATTTGCCAGAGGCTTTTCTCAAAGGCGACAGCGCAGTAGTTTTACATCTCTTGCCTACGCAAGTACCGTTGCATCCATGCCAACACCCGCCGCCATTCGCCACTAAGTGACGGTGACGTCACCACGGCGCCTGTGCCAGGCCAGGTGCACTTTGAGGCCACGTGAAGTGTCGAATTCTCGCTGACAGGTCTCGGGACAGACCCAAGTGCCATGGGTTGGCTGACAGAGATGCACCAGCTGTACCCCCTACTGTGCCAACTTGCTGCATTTTAGCCGCCCGGCACTCTGCTCGTTGTTGTGAGCATCGCTCCTCTGCCTTCCCTTGTTGCTGGAGGGCGACTGCCTCCAACTGCCCAGTAGCGTCCTTCACGAGCCTTCTCTATGCAGCATTCTATTTTTAAATATACTGATTAAATCGTATTACACCAACTTAAGCTCATTCATGGCGCCTTTGGAATTTAACGTTCATTGCATTGACCCTAAATCAGCACTTTAGCAATGAGAGTGGTCAAGTCTAAATAGTGTGTGTGTGCTTACATAGAGTGCAATATTGTACATATAACACTGAACAAACTAGAGTGGAGCGGTGGCACAGTTATCGGCACACTGGACTATGAAGTAACATGACCCATCTGAGTTTGATTCCCGAAACGGGGCTGACTTCGCTGGCTGGTGGTTATCAGAGCTCCCCCTGATTCGCAAACCCACGGCTACCAGGGTGAATCGTGAGACATCCCCGCTAAAGATGCGGCGAGACCCTCAACCATCAGTGGAATGGACAATGGGCTAGGCTCATCATTATATAATCCCTTGTTACAGCCATCTCTTTGGCATACTTCAGCGAATGTTTTCGCTGTGGTGGTCCCCACCTGATGAAGGACGCTTGTGTTGCGCCCGAAACGTCGTGATTTAATTTAGTTGTTTTCGGTTTTTTTTCACCTACTAGACTTTACCGAAACAACCAAAGAGTAAGTAAACCATTTGTTTTTTGGTGAAAATAAACTCAACCGTTTCATCAGTAACACGGCCTTAAAATAAGTAAAAAATATATAACCAGCAACGTTTCGGGCAATGTTCCTTCTTTACGGTACTTTTTTATTGACTGAGTACCTGATATGTAGTGGCAGCTGATAAGGTCTGCGTTCCCAGTCCATCCCGCCCGTACATGCTCCTCAATTGAAAATGCAGGCCACGATCTGCTGATGAGAATGTAAAAGTCAGAACCAATCCAGGGGTTGCCTGCTTGAGAAAAAGAAACTAATGAAACTGCGTCGACTTTTGGCGGTCGTGCTGTAGAGTAGTGATGCGTCGGATGTGTTTTTAACTGGGCGACACCAGCAGTACGGAAATGCTCTATAGGCGTGGGAGAAAGTGAGCTTCTATATTGCAGGTCCTCAAGAAGTTCCCCACACGCCAGGGCGAAAACGTTGGATATCATGTCAACAACACGTGGGGTGCAACCCATAAACACATCGGAAAAGTCAATGAGAAACATCGTGGTTTCCAGACGACACATTCGGCTGATGGACACAAAATGTCCTTTTATTTTTCTAACGGTGAAGTGGAGACCTCCCCCCCCCCCCATTTCTGTTGGTGCCTTTTAACTGCAACAGGTGCTTCGTATTCTCGAGTGCGCTAGGAATGCGTCGCCTGTTTGAGAGTTTGTGACATGCAGGCTGTCGACAGTATAAATAGTCCTTGGGATCTTGCCACAATACCGTGAAATATCGACCGCGTGGGGCGACTCACCCGGTGGCTCGGAGGTCAGGGCTGGCACCGCTGATGTCTTGCGTTCGAATTTGGGCAGCTGCCCATAAATCAGCCGGGTTCTCAACTGTAGCGAGTTAACGATCTCACATCCTTAATTCTAGATTTGAAGTTTTCGTGACTGCAAGAATCCATACTCTTTGGCTTTATTCGGTAAAGTCACGTAGGTAAAATATATATATATATATATCCTTGTCACCAAATTACCTGTTCTGGACACTCGAAAAAAATATCTAACCATTAAACATTTTGTTTTGCGCTTTATTCGCCTAAATTCTACCTCTGAGAATTGATATTCTAAGTTTGACTGCCATGTTACAATTTTATTGTCGAGCTTGATGGAGAGTACATCGCCTCCCCATGTAAAATAGAAAAAAAAGGCCACTTCAGAAATCAGAATCTTTATTTAGAGTGGAGGAATCTGATGGGTTGTGATTCACAGTCTCTCCCGTGTGCCATTCTGTGCCACGCAAAGTGAGTTGTTTTCGTGAGATTCCCAATTGGATTGTTTGTGTTCTAGCGGCGTCCGAATTAAATGGGCGACGTCAATCTGCTGCGTAATTTTGGACGTATTTACTGCGCGCGTGCAACCACCCTATCAGCTGTTTATTGAAAAGGAACTTTGCTCTTTGCCTTGCACAGAGTGCAGTCTTATTCCGTGTACCTTGCAAAGCGAAGGTTATAGGGTATATATAGTTGACTTTTTAAACAGGTGACATTGACTTTGATATCTCTACTGCAAAGTTGGGTTATTTAACACTGATTTCACACTCGCTTTGTTTTAATGTTTTCTGCTTTATATAAAACATGGTGTCATAGTATTTTTTTTTTTACAACGAACACTTTGCTGCTTCAGAAGAGCTTTAAAAACAGCAATTCACCTTTTTTTACGTTGTAATTTACAAATCACCCACTAGAAAGTGGGACTTGCAAACTGGTCTGGCTGCAAGCAGCTCATTGATCACCTAGGCAACCTGCCCGCATGGAATTTCTACGTGTGATAATTTATTTTTCTTCCAAAAAAAGCATTCGTCATCGGCAGTGTCTCTCCGCATTGGTCTCGTGCCACGCCACGCCTCATCATGCACTTGCCTTGCGGGACACGGATCTCATTTTATCCGAGGAGGACTATGAATAAGCTCTTGCTTCTCTAACTCCATCTTCCATATTTGACCCAGAGTCGAATCCCAAACGCTGCCTCTCATCCGCCGATTCTTCTCACGTTCTTTCTCTCTTTCCCCTAACCCCCTCCCGACCCCCAGCTTATCCGCCCCAAAATTCCACATCTTCTGTGCTCCGGTCCATGGCTTGCGGGGAATTCCACATCGTGGCGGAGCAAAACAGTTTTGTATTCGAGTTGACGCGGAGCACTGAGGTTCATTGTGCTTTGCAAATGAAGCCGTGAAATTCTCTGCTCCTTCACTGGAAGCGAGGGGCCTGGGGAAGAGGAAGCTGAATCCTTGTTTGTGTGAGCGAGGCTGGGAGTCTTGAACAGCAGAAGAATAAAAGGTGTCTGGATCTGTCGATTTTCAAACCAACGAGAGAATCAGCTCTATAAAGTAAGTGGAGACCACCAAGTGCGTGTGTGTGTTTTGTGTAAATAGGGAGCGGTGGTGCAGTGAATAATGTACTGCACTACAAACAGGGCGGACCGAGTTCGATTCCCACTCACGGCCAACACCACTGACGATTATCTGCAACGATCCTGGTCCGCCTCCCATAAGTACACATTGCTGGCCACCCACACCCTCGTGTGCTGTTTCTGGCCTTCGTAGGTGCTCACTAACAACACTTCAACATTCTGACAAGGCGAAACGGGGGATCTTTGTCTTTGCATATATGTACACACCATGTATTAATCTGCGTGACCCGAGTTTGATTGCCACTTGTCCTGGGCTGGTGTTGTGTGTAAAGATTGCCATTGTGGAGACAAAGGTGGGCGAGTATCATGCTGGTCCCACTACTACCTGCTTGTGCAATATGTTGGCTTTAATCGGTGCTCACCGACTGCACCTGAATGAGTAAACGTGCAGTGTGTGTAATGTAAACTGGGAGATGAAGGCAGCTGGGCATGGTGTTTGACAGCTGCCTGAAGCGCCATCCTTTCTTTCATCCATAATCCTCATGATGCATGCATCACGGAAATGTACGCAAATGACATGCGTGCGATGTGCCAATGTTACATGTAGGATAATGTTTGGAGGCAAAACTGTGCAAACAAGACAGAACACATCAACAACGATACAAACGAGATGGTTAACGCAGGACTCTGTGACTCAAATCGCTGGCAGGGAGTGGATCGTTGCACGCTTAGTGTTGGCTGCACCAGCCCTACTTGTGCCATGCTGACCCTAGAAAATGCAGAGAGCACATGCTCTCTGACACCGTGTGACTATACAGGGCAGCATTGTGTGTGCGTGTGTGCAGGGAACTGGTGTTCATGCATTGCACTGTGGTGGTGGTGGTGATGACCAAATTAGACCCCTGGACATTGAAATAGGATGCTAATCCTAAAATTAATACTTGGGAAAACAAAGGCAGCTGCCCATGTGGTATGGTGTGTGGTGTGGTGCTCGTCACACCTGCTCCCTGTGTGCTGTGCTACCCTTAATAGGCGCTCGCTAATAGCACTTGCCTTGGGAAATTCTATCAATCTTGTGTTCTATTCGTGTGCTCACCAAGGGCTATTTCTTAGTAAAGCCGACGACTAAAACTTTTATCTGATCGCCCCATATTGCAGTCAGCTGTTTTTAGTGCACTTTGTATCTCCCCGTAGTCGACTGTGAAGCGGTGGGTTGTTACCGGTATTAGGTCGTTTAGTGTGAACGCCTGGTGGTCCTGAAAACGTTTTTTTTTCTTCCTGCTGTGGCTTTTGTTGAATGTCTGTAGGCCTGCCCGCAATAATGCAACGGTGTTTGTTGTTGCAGATTGCAAATGAATGGGAAAACAATTGATCTGGAAAGACTTTTGTCCCGAACGAGCTTCGTATTTCAAGACAAAGGGCCTCTTGACGACAGCAACAACAAAGTGACGGCTGTCCGTGCCATGCCGTAGTAATGGTGGAGATAAAAACAAAGCTATGTATATTCCAAAAGTAAGCCGTAACCAGACCACCTACACCTCTGTGAGGTGTACGTGAGCAGGGTGAAATCTGAACCGCTCGTAGCATCAAACCAACACCAAGAAAGTCCCTGGCATCCAACCGCCGGCCGTATTGCCGCAATATTGCTTGTCGCCATAATAGTGCCAACCGCACGGTCGGGCCATCGCATCGTTAACCACACTGTGAGACCATTGGTGGCACCGCCATCACAGCCGGCGTCAACCAGATTAAAGCACCATCAGCCATACCGTCACACCATCATGCCGTTGGTCAGAACATCGTATATTTTAATTACACCGTAAAACTGCAGGTCATCGCCACGTCCGTCACAGCCTCACGGTACCAAACACGCAGTCGCGTCATCACACTTAATTAAACGTCGAATCGGTCATAGCATCGGGCCAACACCATCAGCCCCCCACCATAACAATCATCGGCCGCGTCGTCGTGGCGCCAGTCATGGGGGACGTACAGTTGGACAGGGACTTTGAAGAGGTGACCACTGCACTGGATCGTTCGCTGCCGGGACCGGAGCGGCTGCAGAGGGCTCGCAAGAAGCGCGCGGAGCAGCTGAAGCGCTGGGCCGAGTTCGACCGGCAGCACGGCAAGAAGGGGCGCGCCAAGAAGAAGCGGCTTCGCTCGAGAAGCCGCGCCGTCAACTTCCCGCCCAGCCTGAGGCTCCTGGAGGCCGTGAGCCGGAACGACGTAGATGAAGGTGAGGACGGCGGGGACGGCGGGGGAGGGGGGTGGATCGCGACGGACGCTGGGAGGTGTCGGTTGCGCTCGGCCCGTTGTTGCCCAATTTGAAGCAGAGTTCAACTTTCAGGTCGGAGGTCAAAAGCAGACATTCGTAACGTGGGGAACTCATCGGTGGAGAGGGGCAACAAAGATGATAGTTGCACGGATGGGCGGCGTGGCTCGCTCGATTAGACAAAGAAATGCCACTGTCGAGTGTCCACGTGCAATGTGAAGTTACATGGCTTGCGCGTTCCCCACTAAGTGCAGGATGAACGTTGTGATTGATAAGGGCACGGGGTGACCAATAAGATCTGAATTGGTCATGGTGCAGTGTTCAACTTCAAATGAAAACCTTCCCAATTGCTAATATATTCAGGAGACCACATTGTAAAATAATGCCACCACCTGTATACATTTACAGAGTGCTGTCCCAATTTTTCCAAGGTGATGCGTTTCAGCTGGGGTTTTTTGTCATTGCATAAATCTGGCTTCCACAGTGTTCCACCTCCAACGACGGAGCCTTTCAGTGGTGGCTGTGGTCCATTGGGGGTACGAAGCAGACATTATATTCGAGGGCACACCTTCAAATTTATAAAATCCTCGTGAGCTGACAGAGGAGATGTAGACAAGAGATATCGATATAGTGAGATAAGAAAGGCGTGAGAGAATAGAGATGCATGGGTTGTGTAATATTAATTCGCTTATGTTTTTTAGTATTTGAATATCGAGCATGATGTACAATGGACCCCCGTTTTTCATGAATCTGGGGCCCCTTTAGATACTTTGGGCCCAAAGCTTTTGCTGTGATTTGCTGATGCCTCATTGCCAAGGAAGCCATTGGCCAAAGCAATAGCTTGTTCTTTACTGTATTCTGAAGTTATGAAGCAGAGGTTTGTTCGTGACGGCGGTGGTAAAATATTTCAGACAAGGCTGTTTTATTTTCATTTCCTAGCCGCTCCATTGTTGGAGTAATTTTCCTGTTAAAAAAAAAGCCACAACATTCAACGCGAGGAAGGCGCCTACCCCCATAAACTCTCTTCCTCTCCCTTCAAGATCTTCCGTAAAGATCAGGAGTGCGAGTGCAGTAATGCAGCACGGATTTGACTATCTATATCAGCCAGCGTAATGCAAATATATTCTCAAAGGTATTTCCACTTTATCATGACATAATTCAAGTACCGCTCTCCCATGTGTTATTGCGTTGTGCCGCACTTTTCTCGGACGATTGTCCAACGTTTCGTTGCACGCGCTGGGAGCTCCTGCAGGAACCGAATTCGTCATCGGAGAGCTCCAGCGACAACAAAAAACTACGCAGTTGGGTTATTTAAAGTGTTCCATATTTACAGTCCTTACTTGTAGCGCATGATTCGATAACAACGCAACCGAAGAATGCGTTGCCGTAATCTCCGATGACATATATATATTTATTTCAGAGCGTACAAGAAAGGGGAGGAGGGGGGTGGCCGTCATGAAACTCCCCACTGATGTTTGCCATGGCTGGGAGTTGAACTTAGGCAGCCGGGTCCATAGTGCAAGTGCACTAACAATTGCACCACCACTTTGCCCGATCGCACAGTAAACCTCTCATGGAAGGGTGCACATGCACCCGAGAAGCTAAAATCTAAACTTTCAACACTCGAACTTTATACTTTGCTTCAAATCCTAAAACTACTGCAGTGGGTAGTTATGTACACAGAATAGGTGTTTCATACCTGTCAATGCCCTTATCAGTGTCCTACCTTATTACAGACCAATTCAGATCTTATTGGTCACCCCGTGCCCCCCTTGCCAATCGCAACGTTCATCCTGCAAAGTCCCATCACAAGGGAGAAGCACAAACAAATAGACAAAAAACGATTTCCCTGTACAAGAATACGGGTAAACCACATGGGTTGGCAGCTATGGGTGTTCACCGCAGAAAAACGTATGTCTGCACAGTACAAGCTGCATATTCACAACACCTTATCATTCTGTTAAAACATCCGCTTTTTTTTTACATGCACAGATCCAAACAAAGCATTGTTCCGCATCATTCATCACGTAAACTCGGATCCCAAAAAAAGCTTCGGCACAATGAAGGCCTCCTGCACAAATCAAACTTAACAGGAAATTGTGCGCATTCACCCACGGTTCAGGGAATGCATTTTCCATTATCACTTTTTTTTAAGGCTATCAAGATTAATGCATTTTGTGCAGTGTAAATACCATCGTAAACAATAATAATATTTTACAGGCCTTTTTGTCAGTCTACTGCTGGATGAAGGCCTCGCCTGCACTGTGTCATCGGGTTTATTTGACTAATGACTATACTTCACAACATTGGTTAGTGCAGGTTGGTGGAGTTGGGAGGTCCAGGATGATTCCTGGCTAGGAAGTAACTTCTGATGTTATCCGTGGCCCTGAGTCAAATTACCGATGTCACCCGTGGCTGGGAATACAATTCAGGTCTCCTGGTTCATCACAGAGTGTGCTAATGACTGTACCAAAGGGCAAGATCTTAACAGACTACCAGGACAAGTGCTTTTAGCAAGTGCCTTTTGAAGGCCGACACGACGGGGTGGGGTGACCAGCACCACGTAAGGGCCTGCCTTTGTCTCCACCGTGCTGATGTTTTCTCACCGTACCAGGTACTCATTTGGAGGCTAAGCCGACCAAGCAGAGGGCCAGGACCAGTTAACTACTCCCGCAAGCCCCAGTAGTAAACGTAACACAAAAAAATAGTTCAGACTTTTTGATTTCAAGGAAGTGGGCGATTAGGGGCCTCTTGACATGCCTCGATGAGCCGTCAAGCCTGCGCACATTTCACACATTTCACACATTACGGACATCACTGCCCTTTTTAATACGTAGGCTTTCGCGACCAATATCATCCATAATAGAGGTTTTTGGGTTAGATCGCGTAAATATATAAATGTGTCATTAAAACCCGCCACCACTCGACACAGCCAACTAGTAAGGGTTGTCACGTAAACAGAACGTGCCAATTCGTCACTAGTACAGCACACCGGTGTGTTGGATGAGGCTCGTTGTAATTACTGGCGAAACGTTGTACTTGTGTTTGTAAATGTTGTGGCTTGGCTCTCCAACACACCGGTGTGCTGTACTAGTGACGAATTGTCATGTTCTGTTTACGTGACAACCCTTACTCGTTGGCTGTGTCGGGTGGTGGTGGGTTTTAGCAACACATTTCTATATTTACGCGATCTAACCCAAAAACCTCTTATGGATTACTGCCCTTCTCTGTCTGAATCTGATCCTCATGGCGGTACGCCGGGGTACCAAATCATACAAACTGGCCGAGGCAATTAAATATTTTATTTCTGGGACAATATTTTCCCCAAGGGTGTACTTCACGCCGCGACTGTGGTACCCATCAATCCGAAATCGGTGATACTCTGCGATGTCGAAACGCAGCGAGGACGATTGCGCTCAAACCCTGAACGCTCGCGGGACGCACCGTAGTGGTGCATCGTGTCCAGCTCGTCGAGATGAGTCGATTGCCGTCATCGCCGACCATCAACAGACTAAAAATGACTGCATCACGGACATTGTGCGAGAGCCAGGGTACTGTGGTACCCTGGGGTACCGCCATGAGGTTCATTTAATGAGTTGTCGTTAAGTTGGCACTGGCCTTCCTTGCCCATAAACCGGATTATGAGGTTGTGGCTTGTTGTTTTCGTCAGCCGGATTTGCAAATTTAACAGGAAAAACAAGTGCTGGCGCGAAGGAATGTGAGCGTGAGACGGTCAAAAAGTCGTGATAACAGAGGGACAGTAGAGCGCACTGATGCATATTTATTATTTTGCTGTTTCCAGTTGACTTCATTATCCCAATGCAGAAAAATCACCCCTGAGTATGCCCACGCTTGTTAAGCCTTGGAGGCTAAGCAGCAGTGACCCTGGTTAGTACATGGATGCAATCTTGCCACGGCATACCAGGTGATGTAGAGTTACTCGACTAAACTTTTACTTACCAGGTAAAGCCCACTGAGTGATTGCCTCTTTCTCAGAGGCGACCTACCTAGCCACACGTAGTAGCTCATGGAAGTGGTGTACATCACATGTGGCAATTTATAGTAGCAGCCAAATAATCTAAAAGCACGTTTTCTCAATGTGGAGGGAAAAACTGGAGGACTCGGAGAAAAATCTACCCGACCACAGAGAGGGAGAGAGAACACGAAAATTCACGATATACAGACGTCCGCATGGTTGGGATCAAACAAACGACCTCTTGCACACAACTTGTCGAGGGAGATAACATCTCCTCGCCACTGAGATGTTAGGTGACATGGGTTGTGAGGCGCTTTAAAAAACATTATTATTACCATGAGTATCTTCGTTTTATGATTTGCTGTTTGATATATATTTGCATTGAATCACATGGTGAGTGAGTCTATAGGTCTGGGTGACTTGTTACATGTTGTTTTACTTAATTTGGCATTGTTAAATATGCGTTTGATCCTTATGGCGGTACCCCGAGGAACCAAATAATGCAAACTGACCGAGGCAATTAAACATTTTATTTCTGGGACACTATCTTTTTTCCAGGGGTGTACTTCACTCCGCAACTGGGGTACCAATAAATCCGAAATCAGTGGTGCCACTCCGCGATGTCGAAACGCAGCGAGGACGATTGCGCCGAAAGCCTGAACGCACGCGGTATGCACCGTGGTGGTGCATCATCGTGTCCAGCTCGTCGAGATGAGTCGATCGCCACATCGCCGACCATTAACAGACTACAAATGACTGCATCACGGACATTGTGCGAGAGCCGGGGGACTATGGTACCCCGGGATACCGCCATAAGGTTAATTTGTTGACCTCCCGTCCAGTGTTGCACTGTGTTACTATGCGTTCTTGTACAACTGCAAATATTTTCTAGTGTTTATGCTGATCTCATGTTGCCCCTTTACAGAGGCGCCACCTGGTTAAGTAGGGGTATTAAATTACAGAAACGCATTCACTTTAAAGAACCAAG